ATAAAGCACAAACATAAATGAATGCCAAAATGGCAAGCCAAATATATAAAGCTTACCAAAGACAGTAAGGGCCATAGTCACCCTGTACAAGAGACCATCTGTAACGCCTCCCTTCAAATGAATCGGCACGCCATTGTCTTCCTGAAAGAAGCAGAAATGACATATTAGCATTTGATTCTTCAACACTTACTTTAAAAGGGGGGGCACAAGTGTAAAAACAGTTTAAAGAAGAACAGCCTAATTCTAATTTTCCACTTTCGGAAGTAAGAATAATGCTACAGATCTCCTTTAATGACTTATTTTGCTGAATTTTACTTCTGTAAGTGAGACCACAAACACAAACTGAACATTCAAGATTGATCTCTATCACATGGCAACAATTTAAAGAATTATAATATATCAGTATAATATAACAGCCATCCTCAACTTAGTGCCAGACTGCCGTAAGCAGAACGATCCAGCATGAAATCGCAGTTATAGAATAAGTGAAGCTTTAAACTGCTCGTTTAAATTTGACTCTTCTTCATAATAATATTTCAGTATTATGACACATGCAGTGATTAGTAATATACAGCCTACTATACAAGTGAACCCTACTAGCGAATCATTTCGTACTTATCTGTTCATCCACAATATCAGTCCAGAACCTGGGAACAAATTACAATCTTAACTTTTAAATTACCATTAGCGACTGCCAAAAAGAGGAATAAAAAGATGTAGTAACTAAACCTGTGAAATCTTAGGATTTGACTAAATGCCAAGTTGGATTAGATCAGAACTAACTTGAAACAACTTCTGCTTTCCCGGGACTTTATTCTCCACCTGTCGAGCAGCGCTACTGGACACGGTCCTCCTGGAGAACTGCTGCAGGGTCTGGAGGATGACAATAAACACGTGTTTCTGTGATGGATGTCATGTGCAAAAGGTACAACTATCTACAGAGCGTAGAATATAGTTTCCACCACAGAACAAATAAAAGTGACTTTATCTTACAATTCAGATGTTTTTTTTTCCTTTAAATTTATAGTTTTTGTCTCACAAAAAAACTGTTTCTATCTATAAATATACCTAGAAGTCTGGAAGTCTGCAACAAAATTCAGGGGGGAAAACTGAATCAAGAAATGTAACCTCAATTCTGAGAAAAAAAAAGCCAGAATTGTGAGATTAAAACGTCACAATTACCTTTTTTATTTTATTTTTTTTTCTTATTATTATTACATGATAGAAACAACTTTCCATTAATGAGAAAAATACTTAACCTCTGTTCATCCGTTTACACTGGACCGACACTGATCATACACAATATATAGTTCACACGAATACAATTGTGGTCAGAATTAATGGCACCCCTGGTAAATATGATCAAAAATGGCTGAAAAAAATTAATAAATCTGCATTGTTTAAAATTTTGATCTTTCATTCAAAGAATTTGCAAATAATCTAACCTTTCATTGAAGTAAAATAATTGAAAGTGTGGGAAATCAATCACATTATGAAATACTGTAAATGTTTTTCTCCAAATCACGCTGGCCACAATTATTGGCACCCCTAGAATTTTTTATGGGTAAAATATCTCTGAAGTATATTCCCATTAATATTTACTTTATTTTAGCACTCCAAGGGTGACTGGGAACATGACTTTGTCTAGCTATGACTTCTTGCTTCACATATGAGGAAACACAAAGGCCTAATTCCCTTTATCACCACAATGAGTAAAACCAAAGAATATAGTTCTGATGTGCAGTAAAATTCTATTGCTGTCACTTTCTATTGCTGTTGAGAAAGTGGCAGTAAGAAAATAGCTAAATAATTGAAAATCCCCATTTTGAGTACCAATCAACTAAAGATGTTACGAAACTGCCAGGATTCAAACTTTAAACACACACAGGTCTCAAATATCAATAACAACCCTCACGTAAATAATAAGTTACGTTAATCATATTAATACTAAACGTCAACCCCGTAAATCTCTTCAGGAAACTCCCAGTTTGTCGAGTTTGAGAGAAATTGGTGAAAGAAATTACATGAATCTGCATATCAATGAACGAATACATTATTTGTATTTTTTTCTTACACGGTTATTACATTTATAAACTAGAATAAACACAAAAACTTGATATTGTTGAGTAACGGGCAGGAGGTCATGAGAGCTGCTAGTCGGCTAACTGTGTTTCCAATTCTGGCCAAATCTAATCACGCTGTGCTATGAGAAGATGTTCAATCGCTTTCGCTAGATAAATGCAAAGATAAACGACATAAAGAGCTTTAATCTCACCCTTAAATGCCTAAACATGGTGATGAATGATTTCTCCTTCAGATCGTGATGTTCAGGAAGCCGCACAAGGACACTTGAAAATGTCACTTCCTGCTTCTTCAACTCGAATCTGACGTAGAATAAACAGCTCAACACTGCCCCCCGCTGGACAGGAGAGTCGCGAGATCCGGTTCTTTTTAGCGAGTCGGTTTGTTCGGACTATGCGTTCCAAACAATTTACTCAAAACCAGTTGCGAATTCGCTAGATTCTTACAAGCGAATCCGCTTAGTGGTTTTGAGCATAGACTGGTTTTGAGTAAATTCGCTAGATTCTTTCTAGCGAATCGGTTCGTTTGGACTGTCTGTTCCAAATAAATTACTCAAAAATGATTCAGTGACCTTTTACCCTTTGGTTGTTCAATTAAAACGAGTTTGGTTAAATATCGTTATTAACATTACTGATACTTATGTTTTTTACACTTCTGATTGAATAAAAGCTCATCTTGCTGATTTTGTTTTGTCACTATTCTGTACACTTCAGTCAGTATACAACATTAGGAGAATGAATGGTCAGGGGATGTCTGGATAATACGTTGTTCCTCCTACCCAAAATTGGGTAAAATATGGACAAACCTAACCGTTGGGTTACATTTTAAAACATTTTGAACCCAGGTTATGTCCGTCCTTATTTGAACCAAATTTGGGTTTAAACAGCATTCTCCTCCTAACGTTGTATAATACTGACTGAAGTGGACAAAATAATGACAAAACAAAATCAGCAAGATGAGTTTTTATTCAATCAGAATAAAATTATTCTGATTGAATAAAAACTTTTACCCAGTTCTGTTTTACCCAGTTCTGGGTAAATAACTTACTAATGGTCAGTTACTGATTCCAAATTACATGACAAAAATTAGCAGTTAGCAACGTATTCCATTACATTACACATTGTGGGATCACATTTTGGGTAATGTAATTCACTACTTTTAGATTAATTGTGATCTCATTTTGAGTTAATACCATTTTGATACACAAATACAAAGAGAAAGAAAATATATTCCATTCTTTGTATCAGCAACATAAAGCACATTCGTTCAACAATACCCTAGGCTTTCCCAAATGAATGTTAAATAAATCATTTTAAAAAACAAAAAGGATAAGACATAGCAATACATGGTTTAATGACTTACTGAGTGATAATGTGTTCGTCAAAAGTTGATTTGATATGCAGTGATGAGAAAACACTAGTCAAAAGTGAAATGATTTCTGTAAGTCCAGTGGTCAAATGCTGTTTGGCCTCTCAGTTTTCCATGTAATTATAGTCAACTGACTAGTGGCTGGTGTGTGTGTGTGTGTGCAATTTCACAAACTAGAAGACTTTCTGAACAAGTGATATGAAACACCTATATATATATATATATATATATATATATATATATATATATATATATATATATATATATATATATATATATGAAGAGTTCAGATGCAAAAGCCTCTAAATGCCATTTGAATTTTTCTTCTAGAATGGTAATTTTTATCAAGCTTGTATATTTAAGTTCAGTAATTGCACTTAAATGGCAATTCATAGGTAATCGTCATTGCTATTTAAGTGAAATTACTGAACTTAAATATACAAGCTTGATAAAAATGATCATTTTAGAAGAAAATTTCAAATGGCACTTAGAGGCTTTTGCATCTGAACTCTTCATATATATATATATATATATATATATAATCAATAAAAAACTAACTGTAGTCTGATTATGAATAAAACAATAAATTAAAAAAGTGTCTACTTCATTTTTGGAATCTGATTACGTAATCAGTTACTCAGTACTTCGCTTACAAGACCGAGGCAGGAAAAGCAGCACAGCACATCTTCTCATGCATTCATCATTTATTATCACACAACTCTTTTCAGTAAACGGCTTTGGCCCAACAACAGACACACAGAACTGGGCTGGATACAGGATTTCATAGCAGCTGCTAAACACACACATTTCCTTTATAAATACACAGAACAAGCTTTTCAGAGAAGGAACTAAAACACTGAACACATTAGCTTTGAGCATTACAGTTTAGCATTTCCAATAACACAGTGCAACAATACGTGCAGATCTGCATGACAAACCATCTTATCATTAGTATTGAATCTGTATAAAAAAACACTGATTAAAATCCATTACTGTTTTGATTGTAACATATTATCATTGTAGTATATTATATCTTTATCCAAATGGATGAATTTCACAAAGCCAGTCAAGATATTCAAGGTCATATTTAACCTCAAAATCAAAAGAAATTGAATTTTATAAGGAATATGCAATGAATGGATGCAACAATATATAATATATATATATATATATATATATATATGAAGAGTTCAGATGCAAAAGCCTCTAAATGCCATTTGAAATTTTCTTCTTTAATGATGATTTTTATCAAACTTGTATATTTAAGTTCAGTAATTTCACTTAAATAACAATTAATAGGTAATTATCATTGCCATTTAAGTGAAATCACTGAACTTAAATATACAAGCTTGATCATTCTAGAAGAAAATTTCAAATGGCACTTCACAAGAGGCTTTTGCGTCTGAACTCTTCATATATATATTGTATTTTGACAATATTATATTCATGACATATAAGCACCATTCCCCAAGTTCTCGTTATTGTAATGCAAAAAAAAAAATAAATAAATAAAAATAAGTAAATAAATAATGCACCATGGTAGAATTTGCCTGTAGTTATGCTGATATTAATTATTGCAAAGAGAATACAATCAAAATCATGACGCAACAATTACAAACTAACTAAAAAGTAAAATGTCATGGTGAATTAGGGGAAAATGTGCTCATGAAAATGTCAATACAAAGTGCATTGTCTTGCAACATATGATTTTTTCCCCCAACTTTATCATTCGATTTTTGGGAAAAATATGACCTGGACGTGTGTGTGTGTGTGATTCACTCGGATACAGGCCTACTGTACGACTACACATCCTTCAGTAACTCCACACTGCCTTCATACTGTCCTCACCACAAAATACCTAATGCAGAAAGATCAACTGTGTCAGAATCAAGATCTCCAATATAAAGCTTTGGTGTGGATGAAAGAAAGGCTTAAAACAGATCATTAAAAACTGCCAGTGCATACACAATAACATTGTAAGCAGTCTTTCTGGCGCCTGTGTGCACAGGAGCATCTTCCTGCATGAGATATGACAATACCTCGCGCGTCTCACTTCGCGTTTAATTGGTAATATCAGCGCTGTTGTTGCGGTTGCCGTATTTATGGTGGATGATCAGCAGGACCACTCCCAGGAAGAAACACACGGATCCCACTGTGATGTAGGCGATTCCCAGGAAAGGGTTCTTCCCACCCATCCAGGAGATAGTGCTGAGGATCATACGCTTGCGGCCGTCAAAGCTGCGCACTGGGTAATCTGGGTTCACGTGATTAAAGAATGTTACAGTAATTCAACAATACATTTGCTTACATACAGAGGAAAATTTAAAGACTTCTGATGTGCTCACAGTGAAATTTTTCTATTTCATTCTTCGCTTTGGGGTTAAAATACCTGACCACTGACCAGCTGTTTACTGCAAGCGACCATCCCAACAACGCACACACTGCAGAGAGAGGCATGTTTGGTGCAACTAACCCTGGTGCGATTGCTCTGTAAGTGTGGTTCAGTTGAATAAGAGTGAAGGCTGCCATGAACAATGTTGACACCAAACAAGCAAATCGAGCCCCAAACCAACTCTTCCAACAGTTCAAATGAAATAGGAACGCAACACGGACCAAAGACAAAACAGGATGCGCCCCTAAAAAGGACAGAATGCTCAAGCATACCCGTTTTTTTCTCATCATTGTTGTGATGTTGTCCATCATAGTTTGGTACAGGCATCATAACCGTGTCTCCTCACAGCAGATCTGTGTTTGTGTGTGTGAGACGGAAAAATTCCTGCCACTGTTTTAACTCCTTTACACAGTTTATAAGCTCATCACAAGTTCTCAGCTGGTCAAAACTGCATCATACCAGAGCCCGTCTAACGGAGAGCCTTGGCACTTCCTATTAGCCCCATTGTGCATCACCTTGGTTTAGTGCTGTAGCGGCGCGTCGATGATTCGAATCAATTTCGTCGACGTCATATTTTTGCGTCGACGCTTCTTTATTTATTTATTTTTCATGTTCCCGGCGGTACAGCTTGCCACACACACGTGGGAGACCGAAACATTGCAGAATAGAGGACGAAAACAACTAGAAGTGAATGTGCTATCCATTAAATGAATCACACACAGTAAACAAACCCTTAAGAAAAAAAACTTCGCAATTTAGACGCGCAAACTGGGTGCCGGTGTGGTGAGACGTACAAGCTCGGGCAGATTCGGCTTGAAGCGGTTCCCGGACGCGGCGCCGGGCGCGCTGTGACAAAAAAAGGCGTACACACAGCCAGCCACAGTCTTCCTCGTCTTGCGCACCTAACGGGTCATTTTTGCCGTGCGCACATTCGCGCTCGTGCGGACGTGTCGAGTATAAACAAGGCTTTACTCCGTGTCAGCAGTCAGCACGCGCTCTGATCAGTTGGTGAACTCCGCCTCCGACTCCGTTTCCCCCCTCAGCTGATATTAATATTTAAACATTCTCTATGATAAAAAATGTTTGTAAAAAATATTTTAATAAAACGGTTTTGGCGGTTGTAGAGTTATGATGGTGTTCAAATACATAACATTAGACTAACGTTAGCCAGCTTATAGTATCTTGATTCAGTATGCTAGTATTTATTTGAGATATTGTTTTTTTATTAATTGAGCAGCAGAAAAAATATTCTTTATATTAGTCGTCCAATTAGTCATTAGATTAGTCGACTAATCGATAAAATAATCGCCCAACTAATCGTTTAGTTAATAATCGTTTACCCCAGCCCTACCTTGGTTGCAGTTCCATTAGAATTCCACTGGAGGTGATCGCGGGCGAGAGCAGAATGAATGAGAGTCTATGGGGCTTAACGGCTAAAAGTGTCTCTTTCACCTGCTTGTCGTTAAATTAACATAGATTTTATTGTCGATTACGCAAGTTCAATATAGATTATAGGCCAAAAGTCGAATGAACGAGTACTTATGTCCTTTTGATTTCTTACAGGTTAGGCTGTTGTTGACCGGAACACGCTAGCATTCTGCTATTGTGTGACGTCATCACATTTTTGAACTGATTTTTAGAACAGATATGTGAACTTAAAAATGCAATTTTCAGCTGAGTGTATTATCTTAGCCCTCCCTTTTGAATGCAACTTTCAAATTACTTGACAAAAAATTACACCCTGAGAAAAGTGGATTTATGGGGGTGAAACCCCATTGACTCCCATTCATTCTGCACTCGACCGCGAGCGCCCCCCGCATGGACAGAGACGAGTTACTGCAGCCAGTCCAGAACCCGGAAGTAACCAGCCAGTGCCAATGGATGAATTTGTGCACGTTAGCATATGCTTGTTCCGGCTGCGAAACCGATATGGGGTGTCTAGTTTCCGGTAGCCTGATGGACGACGTAGAGGATGTATGTTTCTCCAGATGTCTTGAACATTTGCCGAATATTACAGTCGATTATGTTCATCGACTGGCTAATGATTTTCCTCCAGCTCCCCAGAGCAAGAGAGAAGGGGTTTAAATATTACATTTCTCAGTATTTGCATCATTTTGAAGGGAACGTTAAGTCACAACAACATCCATGCTCAGACTGATCTCATGAAATTGCTTATGTATGACACGTATCACGTATTTTTGGCATGCTATCAACACGCACAATCTCTTTTCAGCGTGTTTATGAATACCGTTGACTTAACGTTATTATTGTATGTATATATATATATATATATATATATATAGCATATGACCTACCTCAACCCCAACCTACCCGTCACTCCTACCATCCTAGGAAAAAATAAATATCGCTCCCCAGATGTAGATCTACATTTTGTTTTGTTTCGCTCGGACATTTGACGGTGTGTAATGTACATACGCGGTACACGTGGAATCACTCGGACATTAATGTTGCCATGCTACGTGCTCAAGCTATGCGATTTGGTAACTGTTATATCTCTCTATACATTATAAAATGCGAAATTATGCGTTAGAAAGTGCATTTTCCAGAACAGTTTGTGTTGGCCATTGTTTTGTTTATGATGTTCAGAGGCTATGTTGTTGACAACCACTATCTATATAGAATGTCATGTAGATCAGTGTTGACAACCACTATACATGTCATACAGGGAGTAAAGGTATCCGACGTTGGTTCGTTCGTTATCAAGTTAGGCTGTTTAACACATATTAGGCTGTTCACACATATTTCTAAACAGGTCTCCCTTGCAAAATAGGTTCCAACCCCAGGGGCTTCTCCTGGTTAAAGGGTATAATATAATAAATAATTAGTAGCTTAAAAACTTCCTTCTAGTTGTCATGGATACGCAACGCTCCACTCTGTAAAGCGACTGCTTGGGTGCGGTGACAAAATGTGAAATATCGTTTACTTTTCACAATGCAGCAGCGCCTGGCTCCACCCAAATATGAGTGAAAACTGTGTTGGTTGACTTGACAATGAACAAACGAACATAGTTTTTAGACAAATATATTAAGCTTTAGATAGCCGGTCCACTGATGTAGGATGTAAACAACGGCAACCGGAACCGAAGTACCCAACATCCGCACTCAAGGCGGAAGTTAGCATTTTTCTCGTGCACAGAGTCAATTCTCTTCAATTAGACATTCAGGGGCTGTTTACATCTGGCCACTTCATGCGTTCTCAGATCAGATAGCTATCTGATTTATCAAAACGATTGCATTTACACCTGGTCACATAAATGTGTTTTTGCAAAACGGATATAAATCCGATCTTCAATTCTCGCGCTATATGCGGATTTAATTAAAGTGCACGTCACCGAAAACAACAGATATGAGCTGGATTTTATTGATCGTCGGCTAATTTCAAAATCAGCAAAGACGGTGATAAGAGAGAGCGGCAACAGAACTGGTAAGATCATTTCGTTTCTTTACTTTTAATGAAGATGGTAGTGTTAAGCATCTGCGACTTACTTTCACTTTGATTTGCGATAGAATGCGGCGTGTTGGCTTGCTTGATAGGCGTTCAGCTGCTCATCTGAGGTGATGCACGTGAGCGCGTCGCAGTAGCGTCGTCATCTGACTAAAATGGCATGACATATAGCCTGTAACACGCTCTCACGCGTTTATTTTTTAGCATGTTTTTAGGAGTAGTAACATTTACATATGTGGTTTCAAGAACCAGATGCATTTACACTTGTCCAGTTTCATCTGGAATGCGGCCCAGACCACCTCCTGAAGCGATCGGATTCAAATCCGTCTCGAATGCGTTTCGGGGGGGCATTTACACCTGGTCTTTTCAGGATCGGACAGCCATCCGATCACAGAAAACGCATGAAGTGGCCAGGTGTAAACGGCCCCTCTCTGATCATACACTCACCTGAAGGATTATTAGGAACACCTGTTCAATCAACCAATCACATGGCAGTTGCTTCAATGCATTCAGGGGTGTGGTCCTGGTCAAGACAAACTCCTGAACTCCAAACTGAATGTCAGAATGGGAAAGAAAGGTGATTTAAGCAATTTTGAGCGTGGCATGGTTGTTGGTGCCAGACGGGCTGGTCTGAGTATTTCACAATCTGCTCAGTTACTGGGATTTTCACACACAACCATTTCTAGGGTTTACAAAGAATGATGTGAAAAGGGAAAAACATCCAGTGTGCAGCAGTCCTGTGGGTGAAAATGCCTCGTTAATGCTAGAGGTCAGAGGAGAATGAGCCGACTGATTCAAGCTGATAGAAGAGCAACTTTGACTGAAATAACCACTCGTTACAACCGAGGTATGCAGCAAAGCATTTGTGAAGCCACAACACACACAACCTTGAGGCGTATGGGCTTCAACAGCAGAAGACCCCACCGGGTACCACTCATCTCCACTACAAATAGGAAAAAGAGGCTACAATTTGCAAGAGTTCACCAAAATTTTGTTTACACAGCGACGGCGTTTTGGGGGCTTTTTGGGGCGCGGATTTCCTACCCATAATGCTCGTCTTAACGCAGAATAAAAAGTGATAACGCAACGCCACTTTTGCGTTTTCTCTTCAGATCATTTCCGTGTAAACAGCCTAAAATGGCCCCCACAGTCACCAAATCTCAACCCAAAAGAGCATCTTTGTGATGTGGTGGAACGGGAGCTTCACGCCCTGGATGAGCATCCCACAAATCTCCATCAACTGCAAGATGCTATCCTATCAATATGAGCCAACATTTCTAAAGAATGCTTTCAGCACCTTGTTGAATCAATGCCACATAGAATTAAGGCAGTTCTGAAGGCGAAAGGGAATCAAACACAGTATTAGTGTGGTGTTCCTAATAATCCTTTAGGTGAGTTTATGTGGCTACAATATGTAAGATTATTTTGGATGTTCGGTAAGTTCAGTCAGTAAATATACAAAATAAAAGCCGACCAATCAGGTTGGTTGTGAACGTATCCCAATGCCTTTCAGTTCGGTATCTTGAGGGTTTAGTTAAAAATGCCGGTGTTAATTTTTTATTTATTTTTTTTGTTCGGACCAAATGAACTAAGCACTAAAAGTGCGAATACACCCTTAAATATGTGCTGCAGAATAACAATTCACCTTTGGCTAAGCCCCGCCCCCCTTAGTTACTGTTGCTACATCCGTCAAACTTCATCTGCGCTCTGCATGGCTTATGCTGTAACAGCTCTTCCTGCTGAAATGTTATCAAACTAAAGCAGCAAACAAAGTGTCCGATAGAAGTAGGCAAAGGGGGCTGCAATATGCGTTCGAAGGCTATATTCAAGACATCCAGGTGAAACGCAAGAAACAACAAGGCACCCAAAATAGAGGCAAAAGCATAATTACCGGTCACAGTCAAAACATGAACCACCGCATATCCTACTAATGGAGACGGAGGCTGGGACTAACAATATCAGGGAGCAACACTGTTCATGCAAAGCTGGGTAGGGCTCTATTCACTTCTATAATCGTTATTACAAAGCAAACGGACTAATGTTACACGAGTATAACGTTGTATTTATTAGCAGCGTGTGATAGCGTGTCAACAACCGGTATGAGAACCGAAATCTAAGGTTAGAAGTAAAAAAGATTGTGCTTGTTGATCTTTGCGGGGTTTAGCTGACTGAGGACAGGATTGTCAGGATTTGACTTCAGTTTTGGGAAGGGAAAAAAGGACACCCCCCTCTCTGGGAAACGCATATCTAAATGCGTTTAACCATATTTTGGATAAAACTACGACGGTAATAGCCTGCCGAGACCAAAAATATGACACGTCTGTGTTGGAAGTCAATGGAGCGCTGTGAAAAAGTGTCGGAGCTCTGTGGGAGCTCGTTCTTGGCTGCGCTGTGATTGGTCAATTTACATTCCAGGGCGTGGCTTAGCCAAAGGTGAATTACAAATTCAGTTTCTAATAGTTCATGACCTCGACGGACTGGAGAAGATTTCAACAAAGAAGGTGAAGATTCAGAGCCACACCCACCTATTACATCATCGCCATGGACCAATGGTAGTTGGAAGATGTTTACCAGCAAAGTTCACTTAGGCAAGCTGTTTCAAACTCAAACTGAGTTCAGAGTGAAACAAACTCCAAAAGAACTGCGTTTTGGCCTGATTTAATTCGAAATGACATCATACCAGTTTGTTCTTCGATTTCTCTTAAGTATATTAACATTAGCCTTAATTGTTACATTTTTACATTTCTTATGATGAAGTTATAAATAACTTAAAGGTAGGCAATTTATTTTAATAAACGCTTTTTGTTATACTGGTTGAAACTCCACATCCTGATAGCAATCAATAATAGAATTGGCCTAAATATTAAAACATGTAAATATATCTTCTGTGGACATCTCAGGATGTTCGTGTGTTTCTGAAGGGAAGGTGGGATATCATGCTTTTAAAGCTAAATAGCTATTGCTAACCTCTCCGAAACTGCCAACCCCTCTTTTAATCTCACAGACCCTGTTTACATCTGGTACAAGTTGTCCAGTTCTGAAGGATACTGTAGGTGACTTCCAGGCTGTAGTTTCCAGGCGGTAATGTTGGAGTCAAGTTGTCCTTCTTCTTCTGAATGATGCGATACAGTTTTCTGAAAGTGGGTAGAGCAGCAGTTCTCATCCACACGATGAAATCCTCATTGATGAAACCGTTGTTCTCAGCGTCCGTCGGGTCCAGCTCATAAACGGGTTTGCGCCAGTTTACGGGTTTGCTTGTATCTGTGAGGACGAATAACAATGGTTAGCAATAATACAGTGAAACTTTAAAAACATCAAGGCCATTTTACAACGACCGCTTATACCACTGATGTAGAGTTATTGCTCTGATCACTGTAAAGTGTTTTTCCCTTCTAATGTATATTGAAATAGTCCAGTAAGTGTTCGTCTTGAATTATTACTAACAATATAAAAGTTACGTTTACTTTATACTTTATAAAAATCTGTGCCGCTTTCACAGCATTAAGACACAATTAAAGCCACAATATGTCATTTTTCTGCTTTAAAAATAGCAAAAATAACTGTATCTACAGTGCCCTCCACAATTATTGGCACCCCTGTTTAAGATGTGGTCGAGGACTTTTAAAAATTCTCCCTTTTTTTTTAAACAACATAGAACCCAAATGCAAAAAAAGAGAAAAATCCAACCTTTTATTTATGTACATTACTTTGGTGGTAAAAAAAATTTAAAAATTTAGAAAAAGAAAAACTTCAAATCATGTGTCCCACAATTATTGGCACCCCTAACAATTCCGCTGAAAAATGTAATTGATTTTAAAAAAAATATATTTTCTGTAGTTGCTAAAGTTGGTCAGGATATCTAGGAACTTTTAATTAGTAATTCATGACTTCCTATTTCCCTGGGGTATAAATATGACATGACACAGAGGCCTAATTCTCTTACCAATTTGTCAACATGGCAAAGACAAGAGAACACACCATTCAAGTAAGGCAGATGTGTGTTGACCTTTATAAGTCAGGCAATGGCTACAAGAAAATAGCCACTCACCTTATCTTGCCCGTATCTAAAGTTAGAGGAATCATTAAGAAGTTTAAAACAACTGGAACAGTGACAAACAAGGCTGGAAGAGGTCCCAAGTTTATCTTGCCATAACGCACAGTGAGGAGGATGCTAAGAAAAGTAAAAAAAAGTCCTAAGCTCACTGCCACAGAATTGCATCAAATAGTGGCATCTTGGGGTCACAAAATCTCCAAAACAACCATCAGACGCTCTCTACATGCCAACAAGATGTTTGGGAGGCATGCTAGGAAAAAGCCTTTTCTCACTAACACTGATAAACGTAAACGTCTGGAGTTTGCCAAGCGGCACTGGGACTTCATCTGGGATCGTGTGCTTTGGTCGGATGAGACTAAGATTGAGCTTTTTGGCAACAAACACTCTAAGTGGGTCTGGTGTAAAACAAAAGATGAGTATGCCGAAAAGCACCTCATGCCCACCGTGAAGTATGGTGGAGGATCTGTGATGCTGTGGGCCTATTTCTCTTCCAAAGGCCCTGGGAACCTTGTTAGGGTGCATGGCATTATGAACGCTTTGAACTACCAGGACATTTTAAATAAAAACCTGATGGCCTCTGCCAGAAAGCTGAAGATGGGTCGTCATTGGGTCTTTCAGCAGGATAATGATCCAAAACGTGTGGCAAAATCTACACAAAAATGGTTCAGTCACAAACTCAAGGTCCTCCCATGGCCATCTCAGTCCCCAGACCTCAATCCAATCGAAAACCTGTGGGGTGAGCTAAAGAGGAGAGTGCACAAGAGAGGACCCAGGACACTGGATGATCTAGAAAGATTTTGCAAAGAAGAATGGTCAAAGATCTCGCTCTCTGTGTTCTCCAATCTTGTGAAATGTTATAGGAGGAGATTAAGTGCTGTCTTGTTGGCAAAAGGGGGTTGTACAAAGTATTAACATCAGGGGTGCCAATAATTGTGGGACACATGATTTGAAGTTTTTCGTTTTTTTAATTTTAAATTTTTTTTTTACCACCAAAGTAATGTACTTAAATAAAAGGTTGGATTTTTCTATTTTTTTTGCATTTGGATTCTATGTTGTTTAAAAAAAAGGGAGAATTTTTAAAAGTCCTCGACCACATCTTAAACAGGGGTGCCAATAATTGTGGAGGGCACTGTATGTTATATATTTATATTAGATGTGTACTTACATTATCCCGACAGTTTCCACCAACTTTCAAATACGGAGAAATTTATAGTTTAATTCGAAGACACGGGACGTTTCTCTATTTCCGTTTCGTCGCCCGTCTATAGCGTCATATAACCTTTGACTCCTCTATTTTCTCTAACTTCCTTGCAGAACTCGGCGAAACCGCCAAACACAAAGGGGAACACTGGACTACCGCCAATAAAGCAAAGAAAATGATGAAGAAAAAAAAGTTGTACGTATTTCTATGTGTGTAAATCACGTGCACGCTCACGAGCGCTCACTCTTAACAGACAGACTGTCACCAGGTCGTCTCATTCAAATCAGCCAACTGTTGCTGTTAGCGAGCCGCGCACATTGAAGACTCATATGAGTCAGGCTGCGAATGTACATGCCCGCTTCAGCGCGCTCATACTTACTAAATAAACGCCTCACCTCCGGCGCCGCGCACTCACTACATTCTCTTTAGCCTTTAGCACATAGTGGATGCATAACGCAAACCCAGTCAAACGTTTGACTGCAGTATCTTATAATCCGGTGCGCCCTATATATGAAAAATGTTCTAAATAGGTCATTCATTGAAGGGGCGTAATATAAATATATTCGTCTGTATTATAGTTATGGACCACGATTACGCTTTGCCTGCACGTTCTGCTGCTACAGCCAGCTCAGTAAAGCTCAAACGTACGGGTGAAAAATATGACCCGAGAAGGGTTTGGGACAGGAGAAGCATGACACAGGTAAACATTGGGGTAGCATTTAAAGCTTCTCGACAAGCTAAATCTACAGAGAGATGGCGTATATATTTTGTGAAACGATGATGTCATGTCATGAGCTGAGCTGGTTGTCATTGACAGCGACAACAACTCCCGTGAGCCCACGCTCTTTCCCGACGTCATCAAAGTACGTCTTTTGTTATTATTTTAAATGAGAGACCCCTGGTGGCCAAAAATCGCATACTGTACGTTTAAACCAAAAGACCTTTTACTTGCTGAAAAAAGTCTACACTATCAATCAGAGACAGAAGGACTGTAGTAGATTATGTGCAACATGTTTTTCAGCCAAGTTTTGATCATGTTGTAGGCTTTAGGGTTGGGCTTTATGTACCTTGGAACACAACGGAGAGGTTGCTGTTGCTTCCTCCTGGGTTTCTGAACTTCACATGTTTGTCCGTCCACCAAGCAATGCCTGTCTTTACCAGATGAATAGCTATTCGGCTTCCGTTTGGGTGGATGTAAAACAGCTCCAAAGTATCTGCAAATATCAAACGGATTACAGAAAGCTGTCAGAAAGACCTCAGGTCAGTTTCACGCAGCTTGTGTAAGCAGTAAATATTTATTTTAAGGCTCATATTCACATGGTGCAAGTCTGCAGAGATCAAATATTTTACACAGAAATCAGAAATCATGGGTATAAAGAGCCAAAATGTATGCAATACATATCAAATCTCTGGCTAAATATCTTTTCACTATCAACAGTTTGCACATTTGTACACAGTGTTATAAATACATGTTTTAAAATAAACACAAGTGTATTTGTTTGAGCCATAAGCTTATCACTGTTCACTGTTCATATTTCTCTTACCATTGAAGAGACTGTTCGCAATGGCACCGCAGGGAGCAATGGGTTTCTTCTCGCTTGTTCGATACGGTTCACACTCTTTACTTGGGTTCTGCAGAACAAAGACTTAACCTTAGAATCTGACATACTGTGCTTTCATTCCATGGAAGTTTCTAATTATTAAGCATTCGATTGTCATGTCTGGCATCAAGGCTGTTTAATGAAACTAAAAGCATAAAGACATATTGAACCTAAAAGCACATTCATGAAGTTCAGCAGAACTTTATCTTTATAATAGAGCTGGGCAGCGATTTATCGGATCCAAAATAAAAGTTTGTGTTTACATAATATATGTGTGTGTACTGTGTATAATTATTTTGTATATATTATAAATACACACACGCATGTACATATTTAAGAAAAATGTGTCATTTATATTTCAAACATGCATAGTTATATAGAATATCAATTATATACAGTCTATACAGGTGAAACTTGAAAAGTGTGAATATTTTGCTGATAGCATCAATGCAAAAGCGGCCAAAACCAAGTATGGAGTACATATGCATGAATATACTTTTTTCAGAGGGCTGACATTTCTGTATTTAAATTCCTTTTTTTATTGATTTCATGAAATATTCTTATTTTGAATATGGGTTTCCATAAGCTGTAAGCCATAATCAAAATCATAACAAATAAAGGCTAGAAATATCTCACTTTGCATGTAATGAGTCTATATAATATATTACTGAAATAAATGAACGTTTGCACAATATTAAAATTTTTCGAGTTTCACCTGTACATGGAAATTTTTCTCAAATACATACATGCATATGTGTGTATTTATACATACAAGATAATTATACACACAATCATAATTATGTAAACACAAACTTTTATTTTGGATGCGATTAGGCTAATCCTTGCCCAGCACTACTTTATAAATTATAAACATTTAAAATTAGGCTAAAGGCCAGGAAAAAACTTTACTCCTGTTTTATCAGTAACCAAGAAGATTCTCCAAGCACTCACCAGTAAAGAGCTTTTATCTCCGTTCAGCTGACTGTCGTCTCTCGACTTGACATAACGTCTATGGTTTTGATAGAAGTTGGAGAGTCCATAGTACATGAACACATTACTCTACAAAAGAAAAGATGTCAAAGGATATAAAACCATCCAGTAGCAGACCACACACCTTTTGTCCGAAGGGTATTTTAATTTTATTCACGGGCATTTTATACGAAATTGATCTGAAATCTGTTGTACTTTTAGGAGCCGGAAACTTTTCTATTTTAAACTATTCAAAGGTACGATCAATAAACTGTCCTCTAAATGCATAAAACATGAGAACTAATGCCACTTTAGGCCATTAATTTCACCAAAATACAGTTCACAGACACTCACAGAGTCACAATTGTAGCTTAATGGACCTACAGATAAATATATCCAAGTATAAATAAACCGCCTCTGTTCCAACAGTATGGATTTTAGGTATGCGGCAAATTTGGTTTGAAATATCAAATAAAATATTTAGTTTTAAAGAAATGCAGCCTTGGTGAGCACAAGGGAACCTCACATGAACTGTAAAGCACAGTGGTGAAAGTATAAAGATACCACATATTTTATTTTCAATACGATACCGATACTTTCAAGGCCAGTATCGCCGATACCGATACTTCTAAACTTAACTTTTAAATTTGAAAAAATGTAAAATTATTGAATTACTAAGATTAAAATGGGTAATGATACCAACTTAACATTATATTTTTAAGGCATTTTAACATTCAATACGTCTTAATTGGAACTTATTAAGATTATATTTTTATTTACCCGTGGTTACAACGTTTACTTGTAGTGGTAACCATGGAAATCCACAAAATATTACAGGCCAAGTTGAACTATGCTCACTGTAATGGGAATTTTCATTAGCGACTGCCAGTGACCGGCTTTTGCAGCCATAAACTGCAACCTTTTTATTTTGACATTGTATGATTTGTATTAAAATTAGTTACAGAATAGGAATATATACTTTAAACATTCAAAAAATAATTTATTTGCACAAACTATGTAGTTTTCTGTCTTTTGTTAAGCATTGTTCAGGGCTGCATTTCACATTAGCATCAATGGTTTCTTGTGATACTTTTGGGAAACGCAGCCGTTTGAATGGATTGTCTAGAGAGTGTGAGCGCTCTCTGTGGTTGATTGCTTCTGTTCAGATAAGCAGAAAAATAGTTATACAACACAATTATTTACTTAAAGGAGAACTCCGGCGAACAATGAACCTTTGGTCTAATAAAACATTGGTACCTAGTCAATTGTTCTCTGAGTTTTGTTTTCGTGATAATCGAATGTAAAGAGTTTTATCTCTAAAATCTGTTTAGCGTATAATGCTAGTAATGGGGGCATTGAGTAAGTAAAAAGAAATCGCTAGTTTATACAACTAACAAGGCTCAAAATAGCCCCACACTCACACAGTAACATAATGAGGCTCCATACATACAAAACGAAGCATTGAGAACTTTGTAAGTGTACAGACCGTTTAATAAGAAGAAACTTTATGAAGTTCACTTCGCGTATACAGGCAGGAGCCATCTTAAAAAATAGTCTCGATAAGTCGATCCCCGAACGCCGTTCATACAGTTCAGAAGTTCGTTGAACTTCATAGAGTTCAGATCACTCAGCACGACGTTCGTGGTTTGACTTATCGAGACTATTTTTTAAGATGGCTCCTGCCTGTATACGCGAAGTGAACTGTCTTCATAAAGTATCTTCTTATTAAACGGTCTGTACACTTACAAAGTTCTCAATGCTTCGTTTTGCATGTATGGAGCCTCATTATGTTACTGCGTTAGTGTGGGGCTATTTTGAGCCTTGTTAGTGGTATAAACTAGCAATTTTTTTTACTTAGTCAATGCCCCCATTTCTAGCATTATACGCTAAACAGTTTTTAGAGATAAAACTCTTTACATTCGATTATCATGAAAACAAATCTCAGAGAATGGTTGACTATGTACCGATGTTTTATTAGACCAAAGGTTCATTGTTCGCCGGAGTTCTCCTTTAACAGGTTATTTATCCAATTCAATAGGCATTAAACTTCTTGTCAAATAAACAAACTATATTTTTATTTGAGTATCGATACTTTTGATACTCGACATATATGTATCGATACTTTCTATCGATACGCCCATCCCTAGTATAAAGGCTGTGTTGGTAGTTATGAACCAGGATGGTTTGCGATCACTGAAATGAGCAGAAATGTAATGTTTCGGGATAAGTGAGGCAAAGTGATTATTCGAACCTAAAGTATACAAAAATAGCTTAAATTTAAGCCAAAATTCCTCCAGGCCAAACTGGACTCTGATCCACAGTCAAAGGAAGCGTTTGGTTAAAGTTGTCGCTGCTCAAATTGGTCAAATCAGAAACTAAAGTCAAACACATTCCTTCTAGATGTTTTAGTTATTTGTAAAGTTGAGTTCTTTATCTAGTTATAGTAGCTCTTGCACATATGAAGATATATGGAAGCTTGTTTCCAAGAGGAAATAAAAAAAAGATCATTTTAACTCACAATTATTGCTTTTTTCTCATAATTGTGAGTTTATTAGGGATGCACAAATTATATCGATATCTTAAAGGAGTAATTCACTTTTAAAAGATAATTTTCGGTTCAAGGTCCAAAAGACAGTTTCAGTGCAAACTGTTGAAAGGGCTTTAAACGATTATCTAGCGAAATTATTGCTTATTTAAAAATAAATAACAAAGTTTAAGTTTTATAAGCTCAAATGCTCGCTTTGCTCTGTTCTGTGCGACTCTCCTGTTCGAACTCGTTCATCAAAATGAATAAATCTTTTTTCGAGCCAATTCATTCATTTTGTTCGTTGAATGAACCAAATGACTCGAAAAAAGATTCGTTCATTTTGATGAACGAGTTCGAACAGGAGAGTCACAAACGTGCATCACAGAACAGAGCAAGGCGACCATTTGAGCTTATAAAACTTAAACTTTGTTATTATTTTTTAAATGAGCGATCATTTCGCTAGATAAGACCCTTATTCATCGTCTGGAATCGTTTAAAGTCCTTTGAACAGTTTGCACTGAAACTGTCTTTTGGACCTTGAACCATTTGGTTACCAGTACAGTGCATTATATGGAGAAAAATCCTGGAATGTTTTCATCAAAAACCTTCATTTCTTTTCGACTGAAGAAAGAAAGACATGGACATCTTGGATGACAAGTGATTAAATTATCCGCACATATTTAAAAAAAAAAGTGAACTACTCCTTAAATGCCCATAAATAATGGAGCATTTCCTTCAGCTGAGATGTTTCAGATTTGCCATGGTGGTTTTGAATGGCTTGATTATGATTGGATGGTGATCATGATTAGCTTCAGTGCATGTGATTCAAACAGCAATGCTGGGACTGTTTATGTTGCATAAATATCTGAATAATCTCATACAGGATGCATTTCATAGAGTTAATGAATCCCGGTGTGCGTTCAGCGCTTCTGCTTCAGTGCAGCTCAAACAGCATCGCAGAACATTATTATATGCATAACATTATAAAGAGAACACTATTGTAACAAAATATTGCAATTTTGTTATTTGAAACAGTTATGTTAAATTGTAGATGTTTGTTTTTCAAAAAACATTGGTGCATTATTAATTTCTAAGGGAATATATATATATATATATATATATATATATATATATATGAAGAGTTCAGATGCAAAAACCTCTAAGTGCCATTTGAAATTTTCTTCTAGAATGATAATTTTTATCAAGCTTGTATATTTAAGTTCAGTGATTTCACTTAAATGGCAATGATAATTACCTATTAAATGTTATTTAAGTGAAATTACTGAACTTAAATATACAAGTTTGAAAAAAATCATCATTAAAGAAGAAAATTTCAAATGGCATATAGAGGCTTTTGCATCTGAACTCTTCATATAAAGAAAGTTTCAAATTAATTTTAAAACTTACACTTGGTCAAACTTGGCTACTGTACTATATGTTTGATTTATGTTGAAATGTGTGGGATATGGCTTTTAAAGGTGAGACGTCTGTTTTTGGTTATCAGGCTCTCAAAATTATATAAAGAATTTAATTTAGATTTATCAGCCAATATATCTGTTATCAGCTTTCAAATATAAAGAATTATTGGTTATCGGTATCTGCCAAAGTGTTTATCGGTGCATCCCTATAGTTTACATACAAGTTATAAACTTGTTTTTCCTGAGAATAGCTCAGGAAAATGATCTCAAAATTGCACATTTACAGCTCACAAATATGACTTTGTTTTCCTTCAAATACATCTCATAACTGAAAGTTATACCTCGCAGAGTCAAAAGTCAGAACTGTGAGATATAAAATTGCAAATGTAAGGAAAAAAATAGAATTGTGAGATAAAAATTTGCAATACTGGTTTACTTTTTTAGTCTCTTTTATTATCTGCGGAAACAAGCTTCTATTGAGATCAGGGCCCATATTCATAAAGATTCTAAGAGAATCCTCTCAAAAAACTTAATTTAGCTTAAAAACTTTTAAGTAGCAGTCTTAGCTTAAGAGCGATTCGGGACCGATCGAACTGACCCTGTTGCTTATGTGTGACACAATCTTTTAAAGACTGTGATTGGTTGGTTGTACAAGAAGGAAAAAAGGAGTGATTTTAACTATAGGGACTTCTAAGCCTTCACATTGAAATTACATGCATAATCTTTCCTATTTTATCGTTCTCACGCACACAGAAGAATTACTATTTTCTTTACTAGGATTTTTTCTTTAATTTTAAGAGTAAACACCCACATTTCTAAGAATTTTCTAAGATTTTGTCTCTAGGAGCTACTCATTGCATTATGATTCTTTATGAATACGGGCCCTGATCTTCATGTACCCAAAGTTACTCAGAAAGAGTTTCAAGGGTTAGATTCCACTTTAAAAATTCTAGTTTTAGACTTCTATTTCTTGACCGGTGTTTTGTTTTGCTCGATCCTCTGCGCTTTCGTCAATATGTCATGCGTCGGGTCAGATGTCACTCTTCTGTCTGAACTAGACTTGTGTATGCCTGTTACCAAAAGCCAATGATTATAGTTATTTTCCTTAAAGAGTAACTAAACCCCTGGTCAGAGCCCGACTCCACCCACTAGCAATATTTGAAAAATGCTGAAAAAATGGGCAGAGCCCAGCGGGGCCAGGGGGCGTGCACCTGAGACCCGCCGTGAGTGACAGCTGCTGTCAGACTCTAAAATAGAGCGAGACTGGAGTGACGCAAGTAGCTGCCTTTGCAACAGAGCGGCCATTTGAAGTCGAGGACTTTTCTCCCTCACCTTCACCTGAAGTGGATGAGGGTGAATTGTATGTAGACACAGGGCCAAATCCATTCGAGCCGCTGGCTCAAACTGCGGTCTTAACTCCCGCATCGCGACCGGCATCTGATGAGTTTTGTCGTCGAGTTGATCTCAATAGCGCACGCTCTGTGGGCATGTATTCATATTGATATTCTGCCGCTATGTGAAAAAATCCAGCAAAACGCGCCGGCTCGTTTGTCGACCCCAGAGGATTAACTTTATCCTAACCATAAATTGTGATTAAAATATCCATGATCACTCACATCAAGACGCCGCTGCGGTGGAGGAGTCCATGCAGGACGAGCAGTGTTTGGCACTGCGTGTGGAGCTGTGTGGAGAAGCCCATGTCCATTCCGTTACTATCCTGATCGTGATCACTGTACTAAACACTGATAAATCTATGCTAACTTGAAGCTATCCTAACTGTACTATGCTGCTAGAGCACAAAATAATCTAAATTATCTATATAATGCTATGCTAAATAGATGCAACAATACTCTATCCTGATTGTTTTCAAAAATAATCTAAATAACTATATAAATGCTATGCTAACTAGATGCTAATATATGCTATCCTGATCGTTTTCAATACTCATAAATCCAACTCCTGACTCGCTACAGTAGTTTTGACGGAACCAGATGCTTTTATACCAGGGGCTGCCAAGGGCGTGGTGAGCTCGCACCAAGGGTGTGACAGAGTGGCGTCTGAGAGTTCCCTACGTCAGAAAGTACCCCTACTGCAGGAGCTTTCCGTTTAACCTGAAGAGGGCAGCACTCCGACGTTTTTACACCATATATTTGAAAATCAAAACACTTTATACTCAATTGTCAAAAAATGTACTCGAATCAATGAACAGCATTTATGAAGCTCCATTCTTACAGATCATTAACTAAAAAAAGTTGTTTTGGTGTTTAGTTACCCTTTAAAAAAAAAAAAAAAACACCCCCTGTTATCGTATAAATTACTTTTATGATGGATGGATGTGCTTCATGGGCTTCATACACAAGGTACCATTCACTCCCATTATAAAGCTCGGAAGATTGTGTTTGGCTGAAATAAGCATGCCATACACCTAGGATGGCTTGAGGGTGAATAAATCATTGGATAATTTTCGTTTTGGAGTGAACTCTTTAACAAGTGTATGTCCACAACAAACTAATATATTTCTACATATAATCATGTATACTTTTAATTTATTGCGGTGCACATGTAGAAACATATCATTAACTGTATCAATAAAAGTGAGCAATCCCTTTTTAGGCTTTGCTAACTTTCTACTGTTAGGAATAGGATGTGTTAGGATGAGAGATGAAGAAAGTATTTACGTCGAAGTGCTGGTCCAAGGTGAAGGGCACTGAGCAGGTACACACACTTGTGCTGTTCCAGCTGTAGTTCTGCGCGCAGTTATAACACGGACTGGACATGTCGACACCAGTGTAGTCGATCTAGAACACACAGAACCAGCACAAAACAACACTGATACCAGATACCTGACCACAGCAATAATACAGAGCCTTAAAAAAACTCTTCTATCAACATGATGATGTTGCATTGCTGACGTTACGCACCTCGAACTCTTTGATGTTGTTAGAGGTGACGAAGAGTCCGATGCCGATGGGGATGAAGATGAGTCCGATCATGAAGAAGGCTGGCAGGACGGTGCCCGCGGTCAGGATGGGCTGCCAGGCGGGCAAACGCTGCTGTTTAAAGGCCGTGTTATCGGGCTTCTTGCTCTTGACAGATCCCGGGCCCCCGGAGCCCACCGATCCCGGATGGAGACCGTCCTCATCCTTTGCGTTATAGCTGGACGCCATCATCGCTCTTTAATCCGGTAAAGACGAGCGGATACTAGCGAGCGCACTACACGATAACCTCAAATATATTGCCTCGATGGACAGTAGTGTGTATTATATCGCTGCTGACACTTGTTGATCGCACAGTGAAAGCGCCATTAACGTTACACAGCAATAATGATTATCTCCGTTTAGCGCTTATTGAACATGGACACGACGGTAAACAAGGAAGTACAGCAGCCAATAGACGGAGAGTACGGTCATGACATCATCAAACCACACCCCTACCCTCAGTAAATCATTTCTGAGGTATAATTTTCTGTTTAAGTTATTATTATTTTATTTATTTATATTTGTTTTGTCTTTTTTTGTCTTTCTCGTTAAATTCCAATGTAATGTAATATGTATCAATCCTTGAACCTCTGGCTCTTGTTTGTGTTTTAAAACCTTTCACTTTTGTACTATGTAAATAAATGTTTAATTTATTTTTAAGTTATTTTAGCATAAGCAGTCTAATAAGAAGAATTTAAGATTTTTTTCTTATTCAAACTGTTTAATTCACTTCTAGTAAGTGCATTCACTTCTAGTAAGCGGAAAGAAATCATATCAAAACATTTTTACTTAGAAACAATAATAAAAATATCTTCCATTATAGATGATTTTTGGTGAAACTCTTATCAATGCATTTCGATTCACAACAACATTACAGACAGAAAGTGCTTGGTCTGATATGAACATTACAGGCAGAGAATGCTAATACACTATTAAAATCATGAACAACACTATAAAAACATAGTGTTTAGCACGTTTTCAATTGATAAAAGTTTTATTTCATTTGATGTGTATTTTTTATTGGACAATACTCTTTCAATCTGTTGCGAGCAAAGAGGTCTATTACCTGAAGAGAACAATAGCTTGTCTGTTAGCATCGTAGCATACATGACCTCCATGCTGCCATCTTTGATCATAATGGGCACTTTGATCAAGTCATGTCGGTGAGATTATATTTACAAGTTGAATGTGCAACAATGCCACCAAAGTCATAAATACTAGTGGGAAACTCAGAATTATATTTAAGCCCCGAGTTTACAAGTTGGGGGCTTGTCGGTGAGAAACATGGCAGAATATCATACTTATTCAGTGATATTGTCAGGCTTTTTTTATTTACAACAAAATAAGCTAATTGCCTGCACAAAATATGATAGCATTGTAAATAACAACATTACATAAAAGATTAAAATCTACAGTGGCTTCATAAATTAATCAAAAACATAAAAAAAGCAAAACACACCTGATGAACATTCTTTGTTCTTCATTTCCTGAAGTAGAGGTAAAAAAAAAAAAAACTTGCTGTATTTTTGTTTAATTAAAAGAATGTACACCACCATCTTGCTCTGACAACAGTTACTTGAACGCACCTGATTTCATAACCACGACTCAAAAATATGAACTTTCCGCACTTACTGGCTGGCAAATATTTCACTAATTACTGTCTACAATATAGCTTCATCAGAAGACCAAACACTGACCCACTGACTTCCCCTACAGGATATAGAGTAATGCACGGATGATGCTTACATATTTGTGTGGGCACAATGACAAAAAACAAGTTAGCATTATAGAACTTCCGGATCCATCGTCCTAAAGTCAATGGGTTTTAGTGAAATGCTTCAAGATATGATCTACAAAATAAAATACATCAGTAATACCTCCTTGTGATTTTTCTTAAAGGGATACTCCATTTTTGTGGGGGGGGAATAGGCTCATTTTACATTTCCCCCAGAGTTAAACAGTTGAGTTTTGCCCTTTTCGAATCCATTCAGCCGATTTTCTGATATATAGAAGAATATCTGTAACCAGACCATTTCTGGTCTCATTGACTACTCAATGAGACCAGAAACGGTCTGGTTACAGATATCCTTCTAAATATCAGAAAATCGGCTGAAGTGATTCGAAAACGGTAAAACTCTTTAACTCTGAGGGAGTTGTAAAATGAGCCTATTTCCAAAAAAAGCGGCGTATCCCTTTAAAGCTTGTACTATTACTTTAATAGGCGGTTGCTAAAAAGTGGCTAAATGGGACTATAGAGATTGTCAGACACATTGAATGTCATCACACCAAACAGCTAAACTCATCTGGTCACTACAAAAAAAAACATGCAGGCATCATAAACCTTTGTTGGTCACAGAGTTTATTTTCTGTAGTAATCCAAAAGCCAATGGAGCGAGTCCTATTGTGTTTTTGTAGGGTGCTGCTGATACTAACTTCCAAATTGGCCTGCGTATCATCACTGCAGCGCTCCATTGTCCTGCAGTAAAGGCTAACCTTTTGGCAAACATTGCTCCTTCCCCAGGTGGAGGGCAAGAAAAATCAGTGTCCTCCTTTGCATCTCTGCAACTCGTACCAATTGCAGAAAGTGGTAATTGAAAATTCCTTTTTTTGCAGTAGATTTAAATTTAAATGTGTTTATAATTTGTTCAGAGCCCTCAGCCTTTTCCTCCGGCCTGTAACGCTCCATTACTGACAGTGGATTTTTTAAGGTCAATGTTCATGGGCTGGATCTCTGCATTTGCTTCCACTTTAACTCCTGTGGAGATTCCCAAAGCTCCAAGCACAGCTTTACCCGTTTTCATCCCCCGGGACATTGGAATACGACTGAACCCCGACCGTGCTGATGGGGCATCCATGACAGGCTGCTGTTGAGTTACAGAGACAGAAGAAACATGATTTAATGGAAATATCTGTGACTTAATTTTTTAATAATGGTCAGGAAATCATATGCATCCACTGAGAGAGACAACAGCTACTGTACACTTCTCTAGACTAGAGAAACAATTCTGTCTTTCCTATTTTTCAATCCAAAATAGGGTTTTGAGAGCATTACTGAGTAAACATGTAATGTAATTTCTGTTTCATTCTCACTTGTAGCCAGAGGGCACCCTCACGCAGAAAGTCCACAAGTGAGACTCATTAGAGTAATAATCTTATGATGTTCCAGGAAATCTCTTAGGTGGACAAACTAAGGCATCAAGCTTGCACTGTAACACATTGAGATGTTTTGACTGATGAAACATGAAAGTATATTTATAATGCAATGCTAATCGACTGTATCACTATACAGAATATTCTAAAATAATTTAATTGCAGCCTCATCCTGTGACCTGAAGCACTTTACATTAAAGGCGATTTTCTCAATTTTTTTGCACCCTCAGATTCCAACAGTAGCACCTCATTGCAGTACACGAGATCCAGGGGGCGGAGTCGGATCCAGATCTAGGGGGTGGAGTTGGGTAGGTTTAGGGGTGGGTTTAGGGATCAGGAGGTGGAGCTGGGTAGGTTTAGGTATATGTATGGTGGGAGGAGTTGGATCTGGATTCGACTCCTCCCCGTGGATTTCATGTTCTGCAGTGAGAACCATCTTGATTCCAGATTTTCAAATAGTTGTGTCTCGGCCAATATAAATATTGTCCTATCCTAACAAACCATACATCAGTGGAAAGCAATTATTTATTCAGCTTTCAGATGATGTATAAATCTCAGATGAAAAAATGACCCATGTGACTGGTTTTGTGGTCCAGGGTCATATGTCAACCCTGAATAAGGTCTTTCTTGGCTTATTGTCTTGACATATTCCTGCATATATTATATTAGACACTTACCACTGAGAGTGTAGGTCTGGCTGGTGCTTTAGTGACCTGCGTGATGGTGACGCTACTTATCGCTTTGCTGGATGTTGATTTGCTTGCAGTCACATGGTGTGGCGAGCGTAGCACAGTTCCAGTAGAAACCTCCGTACTCTCAGATGATACGGACATAGATTTGACCATGGCACCTGAGCCATGATCGTTGGTCTTCTTAAACTGTGCACCTGAGTGAATGTGAATCTTACTGTCTTCTGTGGAAATGACATTAGCATTTGACTTCTTGATGGGTGTGGGGACCATCCGTTTCTCAGGAGTCTCCCTAAACACAGCTCGACCTGTTATCATGTCCTCCTGGGATGCAGTGGATACGGGTGATTTGTCCAAAGAAGGAGACCTCGTGATCTCTGCACTCTTTACTCTTGAGATGGTTGCAAAGGTCATTGGAGATCGAACTCTTTCTGGGTTCTTTGTCTCTTTGGTTCGAACATTTGTAGGAATGATGGTTGTCTGAATTTCTTGTGACGATTTGGCAGAAGCTTGTTTTGTCAAGTCCTCTGAGTTGGCAATGCAAATGTGTAAAGTTGCCTCATTGTTGTGAGTATCTGGGATCACCTGAGAGTGCAATGGATGGTTATGCTTTTGGGACATGTTGACCTCAGAAGATGCAACCTCCCCACTGGTATCTGAAGATATTTCGGAAGCACTGCTGTCCTTCTTCCTCATCCAAGGAATCCAGGACTTCTTCACAGTAAAGTCACTGACTGTTGGAGGGTAGAGTTCACGGACTGTCGGTCTCTGCGCCGGCTTCTTTAAGCTCCTCTGCTGAAGACTACTCATGATCCGGTTCTCTTCTTGGACAGACTTCTTGATGAATGCAGCAGGAGTGTCAACGTCAGCTGTCCTATTTTCCACCGAATCGGTTTGTATTCCAGTCGATGTCATTGGAACATCCATCATTCGGCTTCCTTTGGTAATGGGCCGCAGAGTTCGGCTGTAGCGCTTGGTGACCTCTAATTCTTTGGTGAGGTTTAAAACTTCAGTGCTTATGCTCTTTTTCTTGTCCTCCTCTTCCAGAAACCTCTGTTGCAGAACAGAGTAATCAACCTGTAGCTGGGAAAGCTCATCTTCTTTGTTCATGAGCTCGTGAATTTTCTCCTTCAGGGCTTGCACATCTGCTTGAAGGTCTCTGGATTTGGCCTCCTCCATCATGAACCGAAGTCTCAGTTCAGCCTCCTGACAGCATACCTCTCCTCGCTCGATTGCCTTACTCGGCGCAGTTTGACTCCTTATTTCATGTACCTGCTGTGGGAGAAATCGCACCCTTTCTTTCTCAGTTGCTAACAACTCGTACTCTGGTTTGATCAGGTCACCGTCAATAGCTTTAAGCTGCTGAAGACGGTTCTTCAACCGGTCAATCTCCAATGTCAACTCCTTGACTTTATTCTCATCTTTTCCATGTGCATTTGAGACACTCTGCAGTTCTTTCACCTTTTGAGCAGATTCCCTCTCTTCTTCGTTCATGGTCCCGTGCTTCATAATACCATGCAGATCTTTACATTTTTCTTCTGCTTTAGAAAGCTTTCCCGTTATTTCATCTCTCTCCTTTACAAGAGCTGCTATCTTCAACTCCATCTCTGATTTTAGTTTCAGACGCTTCTTGCTCTCCTCTATTAACCTCTCAGTAACCTCCATGACCTTCTCCTGCTCTGCCTTATAGAGTTGGTTCAGTTCATCTTTTAGCTTTTCCTCAGACCTAATTCTGTCTGCCATGTTCTTGTGCTCATTAACCATTATTACAGTAACTGATTTGAGTTTCAAAAGATCCTCTTTTAAATCCAATTCCTCCTTTTCCAGTTTCAGCTCGGACGACTCAAGCTCCTTAATGCGGATTTTAACGCCCACTAGTTCATCCGTTAGCTCTTTCGTCAGGCTTTTCTCTTTTTCCAAAGCTGCATGCAACTGGCCACATTCTGTCCTGCCCATATTGAAGGTCATCTCAAGTTTTTCTAGCTGTGTCATTCTCTGTTGCAGTTTTTCCACCTCTAGACTCAAGTCTTTATTGTGAGTCTCCTCAGCCAGAAGCATCTTCTTCAACTCATTGCACTTGTTCTCAGTTTTGGTGATCTCTTCGTCTTTACCCTCCATTTCTAGAATTCTTTTGCGTAAAGTCTCAAGTTCTGCAATCAAATTCGAGTTGCCACACTCGCCCTTTCTGATCTTGTCCCTCAACGCCTGGAGCTCCTCTGCCGATTTCTGAAGAGCTTCATTCGTCTCTTCAAGCTCCTTGAGTTTGCGTAACAATTCCAATTGTTTCTGGGAAAGCTGCTGATGTTCAGATTCTTGGTCAGACAGTTTCACAGACATCTCCTCTTGCTCTTTTGTGAACTTAGAAGTTTTTAGCTCCAGCTCAACCTCAAGATCCATGATCTTTTGCTTGTCTTCCTTTGCTTTTCTCTCGGCCTCATTTAGATTCTTCTCCTTTTCCTGGAGTTTTTGAAGAAGATCTTGTATTTTGTGACTCTGTTTGTTCATTTTCTCCAAGTGGAGTTCTCGCTCATCAACCATCATCAGTGCAAAGGACTTCAGCTTGACCAGCTCTCCAGATATTCTGTGCATACGCTTGGAAAATTCTTTTTCCTTGCGCATTTGGTATGCTTTTTCTTGTTTCAGCAACCGCTTTAACCTAGTGATAAATAACCAATAAGTATGACGGACTTCATTGCAATATCAATTACTTCATATGTAACACTTTACAATAAGATTAATTAGTTAAGATTAGTTAATGTATTAACTTACATGAAATAACCATTAGCAATTATACCATTATAATTGCCATCAGAAATTATACGATATATAGCAAATATATATTTGTTAATGTTAGTTAATAAAAAATACAGCTGTTCATTGTTTGGTCACAGTGCACTAACTAATGATAACATTATTTTAATAAAGTAGTAATAAATGTTTAAATTAACATCAACAAAGATTATTAAAAGCTTTATAAGTGTAGTTCATTGTTAGTTCATCCTAACTAATTACTAATGTTGACTAACAAACCTTATTGTAAAGTGTTACCACTTCATTGCATCTTCATTCATCAGAATAATTTGATTCAACAAATAATTATTCTGCAAAATAATTACTTTGAACTTCATAGTGCACAGATCATGTAGGTTTGCCATTTAAAAAAAAAAATTATATCAATATTGTGTTTATTTTATTATTTTATTTTATTTTACATGTGCAATTCAACCATCAGTTTTGTTCCCTGCCATATACCTCTCTCGTTCCTGCTCCAGGAGGTTGGTGAAGTCATCGCTCTTGTTCATATAATCCACATGTTTGCGTTTCTCACTATCCAGCTCGTAGACAGTGCGCCGGTGGCTTTTCTCTGCCAGCAAAAGCTGTTCCAGCATACGGCGGTATGAGTCCTTGTGCTTATCCCGCAATCTGTCCAGCTTTGACACAGAGTTAAAACACAATTACTTTATTACTAGCCAACAGAGAGTTAAATGCATGCAAACCCTTCTAATTTGATGCATTTAAAGAGATCGATCATCCAAAAAAGAATATTCTGTCATCATTTACTCACCAACATGGAAGCTTGTTTTCGCCACAGAATAAAATATTTAAAAAGATAATTGTGACTTTTTATCTCACAATTTTGAGTTTACTTTACAAATCGCAATTGTGATTTTATATCACGCAGTTCTGACTTAATAACACACAACTGAGTTTATATCACTCAAGTCTGACTTTATAACACACAACTGCCAGTTTATATCACTCAAGTCTGACTTTATAACACACAACTGCGAGTTTCTATCACTCAATTCTGACTATAACAGACAACTGTGAGTTCATAACACTCAATTCTGACTTTATAAAACACAACTGTGAGTTTATTTCATTCAATTGTGACTTCATAACACAACTGTGAGTTTATATCACTTAATTCTGACTTTATAACAGACAACTGTGAGTTCATATCACTCAATTCTTGCACCTTATAACACACAACGTGAGTTTATATCACTCAATTCTGACTTTATAACACACAACTGCGAGTTTATATCAGAATTGTGAGATCTAAACTTGCAATTGTGAGAAAAAAAGTCAGAATTGTGAGATAAAAAGTCACTTTTTTATTTTTTATTCTATGGTGGAAACCAGCTTCCATTCCCTTGTTCAAACCATGACAGAATTTTCCCTATTGCGTGAACTCACTGTTATTCTTTTCTCTGTGTGTATACCTCTGCCATTGTCTTATCATACACATTCTCGTGTTGTGCGTGGTTGTAGCTGAGCGTCCGGTCTCTCTGCAGGGCTTGTAGGGGTCTGGTCGGCCCCGAAGAGCCATAACGGGACTCCAGCTCTTCTGGGTGACCCAACAGCGCAGACCTCAGTAGATGGATCACATCTTCTCGTGCCTGGGTAGCAAGTAAAAATCATAAATGCGTTGGGATATTATTGAGGGTGCAAATTACAGGAAGGTCTGACCAGCCTAAAATTCCTTTATTTATTTATTTATTTATTTATCATATTCTCAAAATGCATTTATTCAAATGGTTTAGAATCAGCATAAATCTGTTCACTGTGAAAACAATTGCATGTATTTAGTTTAAATAAAAAGTATGAACATGATTAACATATATGGCTAGCTGTGGACCAAGTAATATTGACTTAGTTAAAATGTATGAGATTGAAACAAATTGTTTTTTTCTTTTTAAATAAACGTAAACCTAATTATTGTGCATAAAAAAAAACGTTTAATTTATGCACTGTGTGACTGACAAATATGCATAATTTTAATATTAAGTTTGTTAAAACGCTGTAATTTTCATATTACGAGTAGGCTACGTTAATTTCTCAACCCACATACATCTCGATTTGACCATAGGGTTTAAATGTGAAATTATTTTTGAATTTGGAGCTTTCTAGACTGAGAAAAGCCAGAAAATGTATTTTTGGCTTAGACAACAACTCCCAGAATGCACCGGCTTTGCTGCCCTAGGAGGCCACGCCTACCGGTAACAGAGCGCAGTAGTTAAACAACAAGTCTAGACTACTAGTGAGTCTCCGTGATGAGTCTGCCTGAAAATGTGTTTCGAGATCATGTAAACACTACATTCAGATTCACCAATCGGAATGAATTCAGTTAGATTGAAACAAAAGGTGTGCATGTAAACAATGAATGGCGACTAAAGAAAGCAAAAGCTGAATCCCGGATATCGATGGCCGAACATCTCCGGGAAAAAGAGGATGATAACCCCTACTACTCAGCTTTCTCCACAGAACAAGAGCCGGCTAGCTTAGCTTCCAAAAAAAGATGGCTGACACTATGTGTTCATTCTGTGAGTGGGATTCCTCTATGGGCGGGATGAGAACATGCGGGACAGCTCCCGCATGTCAGCTCAATGCCATGCTCAAAATTGCTTAAATCACTTTTCTTTCATTCTGACATTCAGTTTGGAGTTCATGAGGTTGTCTTGAGCAGGACAACACCCCTAAATGCATTGAAGCAACTGCCATGGGATTGGTTGATTAGATAATTGCATTATTGAGAAATTAAACAGGCGTTCCTAATAATCCTTTAGGTGAATGCATGTATTAATCATGTTGATGACAACAATGCTGATATTTGTAAATAAAAATATTGCATATTAATCATGTAAATTTCCTGCACCTGTCGTCCAAATGAGGTCCAAAAAATTACCCAGTTCAAAGGTCAAATGTTGAACTTCAACATGACGTCCAAGTTGGGTCATGGTTGGACGTCCAAATAGTGGTTGGACGTAGAATAGATGTAAACTGGAAAACGTTTGTTCATAAATTTGAGAGAACATCATCAGAACAATAGCCAAAGATGGACTCAGGCATAGGCGAGAACGGCCCCTCAATAAATATAAACAACCAAATAATTTAGCTGGACTCACACCAGATGGCGCCAGACTCATGAACACCAGACTGGATGGGGCACCTCAAAACTGAACACTATTGCGTTTTTTTTTTTTTTGTTTGTTTGTTTTAATTAAAAAAATTAATAAACATTTTCATCAAAATATAAATGGCTTGCTGTTGAACGATTCTATATTATATTTTGAAAAAGCACATGAAATTTCTGGAAGTGTGTTAAACTCAAACCAGAAAAAGACCAAATGACCAATAATCCCCTTCTTTACAGTAGAAACAATGGGGAAAACTGTATAACTATGAAAATGATATTACACATGACTTGTGATATTTAGAAGAATATCAGTAACCAGACAGTTTCTGGTCTCATTGACTTCCATAGTAGGAAAAAAATATACTATGGAAGTCAATGAGACCAGAAACTGTCTGGTTACTGATATTCTACTAAATGTCAAAAAAAATCAGCTGAATACATTCGAAAATGGTAAAACCCAATTATTTAACTCTGGGGGAGTGGTAAAATGAGCCTATTTCCAAAAAAAAAAAAAAAAAAAAAAGTGGAGTATCCCTTTAACACATTAAAACATTGACATAATAAACATCTCTCATCTGAACCAAAGTTAAAGTTGCACAGATAAACACAAACAGGTTGTGATGATAGATACTTATTCATCTTTGATTAACTTTTCACCTGAATCTCTCCTTCCATGATCCCGAGCAGTTTCAGTAGGTTGTCTTTGGACAGATCTCTCAGCCCAAACATTTGGTCGTCATTCTGTGCAGATTTATCATCATTATCAGCCTCGATTTTCTCGTCATCATCCATGTGTTTAACCTTGATAGCCTTTTCTGTCTCCAGTATTTTCCCCTCGTCTTCTTCCTGGACGTCATGTGAAGTTTGCGTGACATGCTGATCTTCATTAACTGTGCCGTCATCATCCTCTGTATTGTCTTTGGACCTCATTTTCCTCCTGAGGGAAGAAACAGATTTTATTGCTTTCCAGTGCTGACTCTGTATTTACAGTTCCAAAGCAACTCTAGTCCATGTACTGTAGATCATTTTGAAATATGAAAATTATTATGGACCAGTTTATTGAACCTTTAGACAATATATATATATATATATATATATATATATATATATATATATATATATATTTTAAACCCAAAAGTTGTGCGTTTTTTGAGTATCAAACATTTGATACATCCGGCTTTTATGGCTCATATAATATACTCGTATACTGTACCATATACAGGTTTTACAGGTTTTGGACTGTTTTAGTATGAGTTTGAAATCAACATCCATGGGTGTTATTGAACTTTTGACTCAAATTCTGATAGTAGATTTATAGCCCTTGTGATAAACCATGTGATAACTATAGTCTCCATATCTCTCCCCTGTTGATAAATGATAAATAAAAACTGTATGTGAAAAAACACTCTAAGCTGAACACAAACTCTATTCAAGAGGAGCAAACAAAAAATACAATTAAAATAAAGACAATTTAATGGTGTTGTAAGAAATACTGATTTGGTGCTCTTTTCATGTTTAGATCCATTTGAGAAATAGACATGGCTCAGAATAACTGCTGTTTATACAATGCTGGGTGTATTAAATATCTGGATCAACCTTCAAAGTCGAGAGAGGACAAACTAAATGGTTTTCAAACCAGTGTTCATGCCATTTTGAGTGTGTAAATGAAATTGAAGAATGCTTAAAAGTAACGATTCAAGCTGTTTTTTATTTCCATCATTTTTAATCCACATCGTGGAGCGAATGTCCGTCTAAATGGCTTGTAAAATGTCTCTTGTGACAGTTGTTGCATTTTAATCCAGTGGAACAAATTATGTTAGAAGAATGGATTTATGAACAATTCATTCTGCTTGTGTTTATAAAAGTCGAAGTGAAAAGAACCAATCTATCATCAGTAGTTTAGCTGTTTTGTTGAGAAAAGACTATCTAATATGTAATGTTGTCATTCTATACATGTGTGGTACTGTTATTGCATGGCTTAAAGGGGTAATGCATTGCATTTTTTTATTTTATAATATTTCCTGAGATGCACTTACAATGTTAGTAAAATTTGTAAATCAAAAGCAGTCGTAACATAGAAATAAAGGCCATTTCTACCAGAGGTGTAGAGTCCATTGGTCAGAAAGTAAAAGTCCTGCCATATTGCACACATTAACTCAGCCAGCTGATTTCAAAAAGCATTTTCTTGAGTATGCAGGTGTTGATGCATAGTTGCACATCACCCTCTACAGTGGACTCCATTATCATCCTATACACGGCCCCAGAGTGTCGCTATTGAATGTGGATTTATTTCTCCAAACCAAGATGAAATGTCAGAAATGCCTTGCTCTGGAATATCCATCCATGCCTTCTATAGGAGACTCTTGCAGGTTAAAAAATGTTGTATTATATGTATAGCTATATTTCAGCTACAAATTCAAGTGTTACTTTTAATGTGTTACTTTACTCTTGAGTCATTACATCAGAAAGTAATCTGATTACATAATGCACATTACTTTTAATGTGTTACTTTACTCATTACATCAGAAAGTAATCTGATTACATAATGCACGATACTTTTAATGTGTTACTTTACTCATTACATCAGAAAGTAATCTGATTACATAATGCACAATACTTTTAATGTGTTACTTTACTCATTACATCAGAAAGTAATCTGATTACATAATGCACGATACTTTTAATGTGTTACTTTACTCTTTACATCAGAAAATAATCTGATTACATAATGCACGTTACTTTTAATGTGTTACTTTACTCTTTACATCAGAAAGTAATCTGATTACGAAATGCACGTTTCTTTTAATGTGTTACTTTACTCATTACATCAGAAAGTAATCTGATTACATAATGCATGATACTTTTAATGTGTTACTTTACTCATTACATCAGAAAGTAATCTGATTACATAATGCATAATACTTTTAATCTGTTACTTTACTTTTTACATCAGAAAATAATCTGATTACATAATGCATGATACTTTTAATGTGTTACTTTACTCATTACATCAGAAAGTAATCTGATTACATAATGCACGATACTTTTAATGTGTTACTTTACTCTTTACATCAGAAAATAATCTGATTACATAATGCACGTTACTTTTAATGTGTTACTTTCCTCATTACATCAGAAAGTAATCTGATTACAAATTCACGTTTCTTTTAATGTGTTACTTTACTCAATACATCAGCAAGTAATCTGATTACATAATGCAAATCACTTTTAAATGTGTTACTTTACTCATTACATCAGAAAGTAATCTGATTACATAATGCACAATACTTTTTAATGTGTTACTTTACTCATTACATAAGAAAGTAATCTGATTACATAATGCACAATACATTTAATGTGTTACTTTACTCATTACATCAGAAAGTAATCTGATTGCAATTGTGATTGCGATTCCAATAATTTAAGCATATTGTATATTTGGCTTCCACATGATTTTGTATAATTTTATTCATTGGTTTTTTAACACAGTATTGCTGTTATTACGGTACACTGTAAAAAAATCGTGATTTGTAACGGTAAAAGACTGTAAAAATGCTACAGTGCAAAACTGTTAATTTGGTAAACAGAAAGTTTCCTTACCATACGTTAAATAACTGTGATAGATCTAATGGCACATTTAATGTAATTTTACTGTAAAATACCGTTAAAATTACAGTAGTTTTTCACTCAGCTCGCTTTTCGTTCAGTTTTCCATATGCTGATTTCACACAGCTGCCATTTTGAAATCGAAAGTGAGGCTCCGGTGGGAAGAATCCCGGAAGTACAGATAGACAACAATCCGCAATTTAAACTATTAGATTTAGTTTTCCAATATAGGATATGTATATAGATTGTTCCTAATTCTTTTTTTTTAATGTTCTGAATATATATTTAAAAAATGTATTCATAAATTTCACTGTATAGTCTAAACTATGAAAGAAATGTATGTACATTTTTAGAATAACAAATTTGTACATTAAACACAACCATACGCCATCGCATTCATGACTCTCCTATGATTTATAGCGTCTTTCGGTTTTCTTTGCACCGGAGCCATTTCAAAATGACGGTTGCGTGAAACCAGCGTTTTGCAGACAGTACCGCCACAAATAGTAACCGGTCGTCATAGCAACGCCTAGACTTTCTCTGGCGACACCTTTCGTTCCTCGTTGCTCTTTCAATCTCTCGCAGGATCCTCTCTTCGGCCACCAGGAACAGGTACAACTTTTACACAGTGGAAAACCAAACAAAGGCGAGGCGAGGCGAGCCGAGCCTAGTCAAGTCGAGCTGGGACTGTGTAGTGGAAAAGCACCAGTGACATTTTGTGTTGGGGGGGGAGAGGGGAATTCAAACATTAGGGAGGAACCAGTTTGCAGATTTTAAAGGGACAAATGTGCCCATGGGAACATCCCTGTTTTTTTTGCTGAGCTGGTGGTGTTATTGGCTCCTAATTTGGTCTGCTTTTGAAGATAACCAAGAGACACAGCTGGTACCAGCAGCTGTCCAAAATCCAGATTCCTGTGCTGCCAGAAATGAAAGGTTTTAGTGGACATGATGGGTCCAATGTGTCTAAATAAGGGCTAGGAGAGTCATGGCATGTGCACTTGTGGCTTTGGCTAGAGTCAAGACATGGAGTCTGCACACTAAAGGCCTCACACTGAAGGTTCACATTTATGCTCCTGGCCACTTTAAAAGGTGTCCATGTAAGCGCTATAAACAAACTAATACCAATATAAAATAGAAAAGAAAAATAACTTTACAGGTAACAATACACACAACCTGTTTCAAGGACACTTTTTTAGAGAGAAGGAAAAAAGGTCAAAGTCTGTAATAGTATTTTATCATCAGCTCTGATAACAGTAAAACAGACATTACGAGCACACAATCTCATGTACGTTTTATGATTCTCTTTGATATATTTTTATAATTTGCGATCTATATCTATTACGCATGAGTAAATATTACCCAGTTCATCTTACTGTATACAGTCATCAGCTTCTATTTATATCAGCCATCCATAACTTATGTTCAGTCGGAGCAGTTGTCTTATTGGATTTCAGCTTGTAGTATGTTACTCACAAATACTCAAACTGATCTTATTAAGAAATCATTTCTATAAGATTCTATAAATCTCACTTTTTATTTTGTGCAATGATCATTCAACACCCATTACATTCAAAATGTCTCTGTCAGTAATAAAATCACTATTTAATAAAATTTCAATAAACGAGGAACGGTGCGGTGTATCACAATGTCCACAATGATACTGAACTGAATCGTTTTCAACATTGATAATAATCAGAAATGTTTCTTGACCATCAAATCATCATATTAGAATGATTTCTGGAGGATCACGTGACACTGAAAACTGGAGTAATGATGCTGAAAATTCAGCTTTGATCACAGGAATAAATTAGATTTTAAAATATATTTACATATAGAAAACAGTTCTTTTAAATTGCTAATTTACATCAGCTAATGTGCCTACATTGCTACACATGATACCCATTAAAACAGGTTACATTCTACTGTAACATCATAAGTAAATCAAAACCAACACCTCTGGTTACATGACATCAGTGGATAGCTCTTTAAAAAGCCATTCCAAGGGGGTGATTTTGAAGTTCAACTGCGAGCCGCAGTATTAATAGGAGCCGTAAACGACACCTGGATGAGGCGGTGATAATGTAGTGATTAAGGAAACGAGTGGGATTAATACGCACGCCCCTTAATCAGAATGAATGGAAGCGTCTAATTAAATGAATGTGTACAGCTGATATGGGAGGAGTCGAGGTCTATTTAAGGGATGGTTTTGGAGTATTGAGAGAGGAGGTCCGGGGGAGCTCACACTTGTGGGAAACGCTAGACGGCCGCTCGGGATAATTAGTGTCTCCGGCGGTGAAGATAGGCAGCTAGTGGGGGGTGATTGTGCTAGGTAGTTAGGGTTTTGAATATGATCCAGGATAGGGGAGCTCCTGACCGATGTGACAACTCAAGTGCTGCGCCTACCAAAGTGTCTCAACCTCCTCACTGAATGTGGACTGCTTCGTTCGCGGTCGATTAAGTGTGCGCCTGGTAAAACGTTCTCATCCTCATCGGACGTGGACTGATCTGACTTCCGGCCTACAACCTAAATTAAGGGGGGTAACGTGTTTTAACAGATGAAGTTGTATTTTAGCACTTAATAAAGAGTTGTGTGCGTAATTGCCATCTGTGTGCTGGTCTCTGCCTTCTTTGAAGTTCGTGCGGTTGTTACACTGGTGGCAGCGGTGGGAGATAATCCCTAACGATTATACAACAGCCGAACGATGGAGGGCAGGGATGGGCACCGGGTTGTGTCTGGAGCGTCTGACGCTACTCCATCTACCTCTGCAACTGGCACTGCGCTTTTAACCACAGCTGCATCATCAAATGTACCTATGGCGCGTCCGGTGTTTATGCCGGAGACCTTTACCGGCACGGGCCGGGAATGGTCTGATTGGAAGGAGCAGTTTGAGATGGCAGCTGTGGTGAATAATTGGAATGACGGAATGAAACTGAAATTTATGGCACTTTTATTATCGGGGCGCGCTCGAGATATTTATAGCGGTCTCTCGTTAGAAGCCAAGCGCAGCTATGTTTTATTGAAAGACGCTTTAGGTAAATGTTTTGAGCCATGTGAAACTGCAGAGTGGAATCGGGTTAGTTTCTCGTCCCGCAAGCGCTTGCCAAACGAAACTTTACGTGAGTTTGGTAATGCACTGCGGAGGTTGGCGACTAAGGCGTATCCCTCAGTAGGTGTAGATACACAGGATTTGCTGGCCAGAGATCATTTTATTGCACATGTGGGAAACGGAGAGACTCGTATCCAACTACGTAGTATTAAACCTATCACTCTAGAAGAAGCAATGAATATTGCAAGTGAATTCGAACTTATTCAGGGGTTAGAGAAATGTACGATAACCCCTGATGCTCGAGTGCGTGGTTTGCATATTTCTGCAACAGAGAGTAAGGTAGATGCACTGACTGAGGTGGTGGATACGCTTCGTAATGAGGTTCAGATGTTACAAAAATCGGTGCAGCAACTCCGTGAGGCAGTTCCCACATTAGTAAGAAATCACGTCGTTGAACCGTCAGTTATGAGTGGGGTTGGGAAAAGGCCGGTGCAACCATTAGGAGGCGGGTGTTGGGAATGTGGGTGTAACCGACATATTAGGAGAGATTGCCCTTATGTGCAGGGAAACGGGAGGGGGCAGGCACTATAGGCCGGATGCCTGCCCCAATGCAAGATAATTTTTTTCAGTTGGCCTCATCGGTCCAGGGCAATTCTGGGATATACCTTGCTGCTAAATTAGGTGGGTGTGATGTCAAACTTCTTATTGATACAGGCGCTCAAGTTTCAATAATCCCAAAACAGAGGTGGTTGACCATTACGAATGGCGGGGCTCACCTCGAACGTCATGAGGGTGTGGTTCGAGTAGCCAATGGGGGGAGGATGTTGATTTTGGGGCGCTGGCAAACGGTATGCCAATTCGATTCTTTAACTCTCATTACGGAGTTTCTTGTGGCAGATTTGGAGCCCCAGGAAATTCTGCTTGGCTCTGACTTTTTGCTAAAATATGGCGCTATTATTAATCTCGATCAAAAGAGCTGTCGGGTGATGGGCAAACAAATTCCCCTTTTGTTCGGCAATAACGGTATGCAGCCCTGTGATGTGATGGTGCATGTTGATACACCTGTTCCACCTCGCAGTGAAGTTTTGATTGTAGGGGCGGTGGAAGGGACGTCAGATAGTTTCCAGGGCATGTTAGAGCCGTCTTCCTCTCTTTATAACCATTGCGACCTTTTGGTGGCAAGGGTAGTGTGCAGGGTGGAACAGGGTATTCTGCCCATCCGTGTAATTAATGTCACTGATGACACGCATATTTTAAAGCGTGGAATGAAAGTGGGTAAGTTATTTTTTGATGTGGTGGTAGAGGGAGGGGACGTGGCTAGGGATAATACATCTACATGCTCCGTGGATGCGCTTATAGAGCGGCTAAATTTACATGAAAGGGGCTTTGGGGAGGCTGAAACGCGCGCGGTGCGCGAGTTATTGTGTAAGAATTTGTCCGTTTTTAGTCTAAATGACACAGATCTAGGGCGGACAACGCTAATAACGCATCAGATTGAGACGGGGGACGCTAAACCTATTAAATTGCCCCCGCGTCGTGTTCCTCTTCATCTGCAAGATGAAGTGACTGAGCATATTAAAGATATGCAGGTAAAGGGAATTGTACAGCCATCGTGTAGTCCGTGGGGCGCGCCTGTGGTCCCGGTACGGAAGAAAGACGGGACCCTTCGATTTTGCGTTGATTATAGGCGGTTGAATGATGTAACGCGGAAAGATGCGTATCCCTTACCGCGTATTGATGATGCGTTGGATAGCCTTGCTCATGCCCAGTGGTTTTCCACCCTCGATCTGGCCAGTGGATACTGGCAGGTCGAGGTGGACCCTAAAGACAAACATAAGACCGCTTTTATAACACGGCAGGGGCTATTCGAGTTCAATGTTTTAAGTTTCGGGCTGTGTAACGCGCCAAGTACATTTCAGCGCCTTATGGATTTGGTGTTGGCGGATTTACAGTGGACCACTTGCCTTGTCTATTTGGATGATATTATTGTTTTTGGGAGAACATTTGGGGAACATCTACAACGGCTGGATGAGGTCCTCGGTAAATTACGCCACGCGAACCTGAAGGTTAAACCATCTAAATGTTCTTTGTTTGCTTCTCAAGTCCGTTATTTAGGGCACGTTATATCGGCTGAGGGAATACGAGCGGACCCAGCTAAAATAGATGTGGTGAGACAATGGCCGGTACCTAAGAATCAAACTGAAGTTCGGAGTTTCGTGGGGTTGGCATCTTATTATCGGCGATTTATTGAGGGGTTCGCTGAAATTGCGCGACCATTACATCGCCTAACTGAGAAAGGTCGAAATTTAAATGGGGGGATGAGTGCCAGCGGGCGTTTTCACAGCTTAAAACCGCATTGGTGACAACGCCAGTTCTTGCGTATCCCGACCCGCACAAGACATTTATTTTAGATACTGACGCGAGTGACATGGGCATTGGTGCAGTGCTGTCACAAGAGATGGATGGCTTGGAGCGGGTCGTGGCATACGCGAGTCGAGCGTTAACGAAACAGGAACGCCGTTATGCGACCACGAAAAAGGAGTTGCTTAGTTTAGTGGTATTTACTAAATATTTCAAGCATTATTTGCTTGGGAAAGAATTTATATTACGCACTGACCATAGCTCCTTAAGGTGGCTCCATAATTTTCAGGGGTTGGAAGGGCAGCTGGCCAGATGGATTGAACAGTTGTCCAATTTTCAATATAAAATCGTTCACCGCCCGGGAAATAAACATGTTAACGCGGATGCGCTGTCACGCGTGCCATCATTTGGCGCTAAGTGTGAAAACGTTTCAGATTCACGTCTGGAGGGGGGCGTTTCGGTTTGTGCGGTAAGAGAAATGCTTTCTTCGGGGGAGATTGAGGATGAGCTGGTGGGGGCGCAGAAGAAAGATGCCACTTTACAGATTGTAGAACAGCTGTGGTTGCGGGGGGAGGAGGGGCGCGTGGAAGCACAGACAAAAGTGGAAATGAGAGGGTTTCTGCCCGTGTGGGATCAGTTGGACTTTGAGCAAGGGCGGTTAGTGCGTAAACCACCCCTTAATACAGATGCTGCATCAAAAATTCAGGTGGTCCTTCCGAAGGTGATGGTTCCAGAGGTTTTGGGAATGTTGCATAATTCTATTACGGGGGGTCATCTAGGAGTGCAGAAATTGCAGGCAAAAGTGAAGGATCGGTTTTATTGGCCCGGGTGGTTTGAGGACGTAAAGAAGTGGTGTAGGGAATGTACGGAATGCGCATCTCGTAAATCCTCAGGGAACGTTCGTGCCCCGTTGCAGCCGTCTTTTGTCTCTCGGCCTTTCGAGCGTGTAGCGTTGGATATCTTGGGCCCTTTGCCCGTAACTGGAGAGAAGAATAAGTATATTCTGGTAATTGGGGATTATTTCTCAAAGTGGACAGAAGCGGTTGCACTTCCAAACCAAGAAGCAGAGTCCGTTGCTAAAGTTTTGGTACGTGAGTGGGTGTGCAGATTTGGGGTCCCACGTAGCATTCACTCTGATCAAGGTCGAAACTTTGAATCAAAGTTATTTACGGAGTTGTGTGCTTTGTTACAGATGCATAAAACAAGAACTACATCTTATCATCCGCAGTCGAATGGGATGGTGGAAAGGTTTAACCGCACTTTACTTTCAATGCTGTCTTTGTTTGTGGATAGTAATCAGCAGAATTGGGACACCCTCCTGCCATATGTTATGATGGCATATAGGAGTAGTACACATGCTACCACAGGATTTTCACCATACAGAGTTTTGTTTGGACGAGAGATTGTTTTGCCTGTGGACGTTGTTTTGGGAGTAGGGGAGACGGAATGTTTTGATTCGGCAAATGAGTATGTGGAGAAAGTAGCGGAAAGTTTGTCTACGGTGGTGGAGGCTGTGAAAGCACATCAGCTGAAAGCATCGGGAAGGCAGAAACAATATTTTGATCTAAAAGTTTCCCGTCAGTTTTATACGGAAGGGGAATTGGTGTGGGTGGAAAGTAGGGTGCGTAAGCGGGGGCTGTGTCCAAAGTTACAAAGGCATTTTGTGGGGCCGTTTGTTGTCATTGAGCGGGTTACGGATGTTTTGTATCGAATAGTCCCGAAAGAAGAAGAAAGGCCGGAGCGAGTCGTGCATTTTAATCGTCTTAAGCCATATGTTTGTAATTTATTTTCAGGAAGGCCGGGATTGCAGAGTGTCGGGGGGGGATCGAATGGCGGCTGTGGCTGGGGAAAGGAGTGTGCTGCATCCTGACTCTGCGCTTCTGGCTGATCCTGTGCTGCATCCTGACTCTGCGCTTCTGGCGGACCCTGCGCTGCATCCTGACTCTGCGCTTCTGGCGGACCCTGTGCTGCATCCTGACTCTGCGCTTCTGGCGGACCCTGCGCTGCATCCTGACTCTGCGCTTCTGGCGGACCCTGCGCTGCATCCTGACTCTGCGCTTCTGGCGGACCCTGCGCTGCATCCTGACTCTGCGCTTCTGGCGGACCCTGCGCTGCATCCTGACTCTGCGCTTCTGGCGGACCCTGCGCTGCATCCTGACTCTGCGTTGCTGGCTGACCCTGTATTGCATTCTGGTCGTGTGTTGAAGGCTGTGATGCCTTCTGTTTCCACTTTGCTGCCTGCCCCCGCAGTGGAGGTGGCTGTACCGCGTGAATCTGTAGTCCGTGAGTCGCGGTCTGGGACAAAGAATGGATTTACGGAAGGACGGGGGTCGCGGGCTAGGAAGATACCGGCCCGGTTGATGGATTATGATTTATCTGCTTGACTCGAGGACGAGTCCTTTTTGCCTGGGAGGGGGGTAGTGTAGTGATTAAGGAAACGAGTGGGATTAATACGCACGCCCCTTAATCAGAATGAATGGAAGCGTCTAATTAAATGAATGTGTACAGCTGATATGGGAGGAGTCGAGGTCTATTTAAGGGATGGTTTTGGAGTATTGAGAGAGGAGGTCCGGGGGAGCTCACACTTGTGGGAAACGCTAGACGGCCGCTCGGGATAATTAGTGTCTCCGGCGGTGAAGATAGGCAGTGGGGGGTGATTGTGCTAGGTAGTTAGGGTTTTGAATATGATCCAGGATAGGGGAGCTCCTGACCGATGTGACAACTCAAGTGCTGCGCCTACCAAAGTGTCTCAACCTCCTCACTGAATGTGGACTGCTTCGTTCGCGGTCGATTAAGTGTGCGCCTGGTAAAACGTTCTCATCCTCATCGGACGTGGACTGATCTGACTTCCGGCCTACAACCTAAATTAAGGGGGGTAACGTGTTTTAACAGATGAAGTTGTATTTTAGCACTTAATAAAGAGTTGTGTGCGTAATTGCCATCTGTGTGCTGGTCTCTGCCTTCTTTGAAGTTCGTGCGGTTGTTACAATAATATACAGTAGCCTACATAGTCAATAGGCCAAACATGATTTCCATTGCACGAGAGTAGATGTTAAAACATGCTAATTTGTGCTCGGCTTTCGCCAAGATAAGAAAACGCTAAGACGTAGCTTTACAGTAAACTAAGTTATGCTTCTCCATCCATTTACGCTTCTTTCCATATAGTGATGTGACTCCCCTTATGTCTGCAGTGTAGCCTACTTGGAGCGTCAGCACACACGACGGCTGCAACTACAGTATGGTCTCCCAAGTGAACTAACACAACAACCGTCTGGATTGAGCCGAATAGGGGACATCTCTAGGGTCTTCAAGTGGGCACCTTCCGTCCTCAGTGTTTCATCGACTAGCCCACGACACCTCAAGAGGGCTCAACACTCTGGCGTCCCAGAGTCACCCCCCTCCGTCCCCCACTCAACTACTGACCTTTAACTTGACCAGAGACAAGCATACATCCAGAATCGGAGAAACCCGCACACCAAGAACCGACACCACAATAGTCCTCAAAATAATAAAATCCTAAAAATATTGCAAAAAGTTCCTTTCCAATCACAACTATTAAAAAACGACCAAAGGTAGGAGTTCACTGCTGTGAGAATTGCTGAGCGCTTTTTTTATGCTGTCACCCAAAGAATTTTTTTAATGGTAAAATTAAAATTGTAAAAAGCCAAAAACATATTATATTGACCAACAATAAAGAGATAGTTCACCCAAAAATGAAAATGTTGTCATCGTTTATTCACCCTCATGTCGTTCCAAACCTGTATGAGTTTCTTCTGTTGAACACAAAAGAAGATATTTTGAAGAATGTTGTTAAATAGGTGATGGCACCCATTAATATTTTTTCCAACTATGGAAATCAATGGTTACCATCAATTGTTTGATTACCAATACTGTTTAAAATATCTTCTTTTGTGTTTAACAGAAGAAAGAAACTCATACAGGTTTGGAACAACAGTTTTTGGTGAACTATACCTTTAACTAACATTTTGGCTTTTGTGTAGCCTATATTTGAGAAAACATATTGATTTTGAAGTATGATCTGGTCTTATAATAAATCATTTTCATATTTTTGGTTAATAAAATAATGATATAAAAGGCTATATACATATATCATAAAAAATATATTATTGGAGAAAAACTAATACATTGGTTGTAACAAATTAGAATGTTATAATAAGTTAGACCACAGGATCATTTTTATTTATTTTTTTCAGTGTATGCATTTGCAGGACATACTTTTCAAATATGTTCATTTATGCCTAAACTATTTCAACTAGAAATCTGATTCTTCCATGCAGTCACATGATATATAGCTTTAACTTGCATTTTACAAATTTTCAAATTGAAGAAAAACTTAAATTTGATGCAAATATGCAACTATTGCATTTGCCTGAAATGTGTTAAAGTCTAAAACGCACTGCACAATATGCGACTCTTATCTTTAGTAAATTATTAATAAAGTGGTGGATAGAAATTGGTGCGATCCCATATAGAACAAGAACACACATGCTCTCTGAATGAAACATGAATTAAACACTTACCCACATTAGTCCCAAAGCCAAAGTACATTCCTACAGTATGTTCTCCAGGTTAGACGATTCTTCTAAAAGTGAAACCCATTATCCAAAAATCTTTCCTCTGTAAGATAGTGCTATGAGAATCAGGTGCTTCAAACCATGAGGCAACAAGTGAAAGAAAGCATGACTGAATGCAAGTCGTTATAGGGCTGTAAAATCAATGAGTCTCAAACAATGAAGTTGTTATTCTATTCCAGGGACAAGAGGAGCGCATGCTTCCTCTATCAGTGATTGTGTGCAGCTCCACCACGCTGCTAAGCTATATATAAACCTCTCCGCTTACTCAGTTGTAGCCATTAGGGTGTGAGAGTGACTTTAGGCTCTCAGAAGTGACAGCTGAGCCCTCCGATTCTCACATCAGAGAACGATCAGGCCTGTTACTCCACCCACATGCAGTCCAGGAACTGCTGCGACAAGACATGAGCTCTGAACAAATGGAGAATTTGTCCTAATGGATTCAGCTGAGAGCAGCAACTATCATGTTGCTTTGCAGTATCAAATAAATTACCACAAAACACATTTTCTGTCCATTATTATTATTAATTGCAACTAGTAAAGAAAAGTGCATCAAAGTGTACCTTTAATGTTGGCATGACAGATAAAGTAAAAAAGCCTTAAAGGTTCTATAAGCGATGCTGGGCCAAAACATTTTTTGTCACATACATCAAACGTCTCCTCACTATCGGCTAGCTGCCTGTCCCCTAAACACACTGTAAAAAAACGCGGTCTCTGTAGACACCACAGGCTCCACAAACGGCAACAAAAACAATCATGTCTTACCCGGACCACGAAACCTAACAAACAGTGTTCCAGCCAATCACTGGCAAGAAGTATTTGAGGGTGGGTCTGGGGGGTTAGTGCGCGTGCACATGAAGGGTGTGTGTGTGTGAAGGAGAGCAGCGAAGCATCAGAGGGAAGTTTGAAAAATTACCGACACACGACCAAAGAGATGTCGTTCTGAAGAACAAATTAAAAAGAAGATGGAGTCGGATAAAGAATGTGCGAAGTTCCGAATTCACATCGGTAGCAAAGCTTTTGAACGATGGCGAGAACTCCGGCGGCAGAAGGGCTTCCAGTCCGACATTCAGGTTGCTCTGTTTTTGCTTGACAGGTGGGTAACGTTAAATTGTTTTTTTTCTTCTAAATTGACGCTTATGTTCGCCAAACCCACACAAGGATATAATTAGCTAGAACTATGCACTGTTACGAAGCTGGAGACGAGATGAGATCCATGTGCAGCTTTATTTAGAATCATCAAACAGGCAGGGGTCAGGAAACAGCAAAACAGGGATATCAGAGAGTGAGCGCAGAGAGTCGTCAGGTAACAGGCAGAAGATCAGGGCAGGCAGCAAACAGGCAGAAGTCAGGAAACAAACCAGGATCAAAACCAGAGAAATCAGAAACAGGATATACGCTCAGAAATTGCAAGCCGTGGCAATGCAGTGTAACACTTAAACAAGACTTCGCAAACACTGAACGTGAACACAAGGTATATATAGACACACTAACAGGATGAGACACAGGTGAAAGCAAACAGTGAATGAGGTACAGGTGAATGTGATCAGTGATGAGTCCGGGCAGTGAGTTCTGGGAAATGTAGTTGTGAGGGAAACATGAACATCTGGTGTGGAGTGCCCTCTGGTGACTCTCAAGGGCACTCCACCTGGTGACCGTTACATAGCCCCCCCCCAAAGAGCGGCTTCCAGACGCTCCAAAAACAGTTCAGGAGGGAGGTGGAGCGGAGGCGGATCCGGGGGAGGGATGGAGGGCCAGGCCTGTGGAGCAGAATAGGGCCTGGAGACTAGGACGGAAGACCAGGGTGGAGCAGGCTGTGCAGGCGGCCAGGGCGGAGCAGGCGGCCAGGGCGGAGCAGGCTCCTCGGGCGGCCACGGCGGTGAAGACCCCTCGGGCGGCCACGGCGGTGAAGACCCCTCAGGTGGCCACGGCGGTGAAGACCCCTCGGGCGGCCACGGCGGTGAAGACCCCTTGGGCGGCCTGGGCGATGATGCCCTCTCAGGACCAGACACCGGCTCGGGACCAGACACCAGCTCAGGAACAGACACCGGCTCAGGAACAGACACTAAAACAGAAATGGTCACAAACACAGAAACAAACTCAGGAACAGACACTGGGTCGGCCATCTTGTCCGGAGACACTGGGTCGGCCATCTTGTCCGGAGACACTGGGTCGGCCATCTTGTCCGGAGACACTGGGTCGGCCATCTTGTCCGGAGACACTGGGTCGGCCATCTTGTCCGGAGACACTGGGTCGGCCATCTTGTCCGGAGACACTGGCTTGGAGGCGGCCATCTTGTCCGGAGACACTGGCTTGGAGGCGGCCATCTTGTCCGGAGACACTGGCATGGAGGCGGCCATCTTGGCAGTAGACACTGGCTTGGAGGCGGCCATCTTGTCCGTAGACACTGGCTTGGAGGCGGCCATCTTGTCCGGAGACACTGGCATGGAGGCGGCCATCTTGTCCGTAGACACTGGTTCGGAGGCGGCCATCTTGTCCGTAGACACTGGCTTGGAGGCGGCCATCTTGTCTTTAGACACTGGCTCAGCAGAAGTGACGTGGAGCGTCTCTGGCTCGGCAGAAGTGACGTGGAGCGTCTCTGGCTCGGCAGAAGTGACGTGGAGCGTCTCTGGCTCGGCAGAAGTGACGTGGAGCGTCTCTGGCTCGGCAGAAGTGACGTGGAGCGTCTCTGGCTCGGCAGAAGTGACGTGGAGCGTCTCTGGCTCGGCAGAAGTGACGTGGAGAGTCTCTGGCTCGGCAGAAGTGACGTGGAGAGTCTCTGGCTCGGCAGAAGTGACGTGGAGCGTCTCTGGCTCGGCAGAAGTGACGTGGAGCGTCTCTGGCTCGGCAGAAGTGACGTGGAGCGTCTCTGGCTCGGCAGAAGTGACGTGGAGCGTCTCTGGCTCGGCAGAAGTGACGTGGAGAGTCTCTGGCTCGGCAGAAGTGAAGTGAAGCGTCTCTGGCTCGGCAGAAGTGAAGTGAAGCGTCTCTGGCTCGGCAGAAGTGACGTGAAGCGTCTCTGGCTCGGCAGAAGTGACGTGAAGCGTCTCTGAATTTGCAGAAGTACATTGAAGAGTCTCTGAATGGAAGGTGAGCGGGGGCTGTGGAAGCTCTGCTGAGACGTGACGAGGCTCTGGAAGCTCTGCTGAGACGTGATGAGGCTTTGGAATGAAACTCTCTTCACAAACGGAGACCGCCTCTCTCCAGTTCAGACCCGAGAGATTGGGGAGCTCCCTCGGGTTGACCTCCTTAGCCCCTAGCTGGTAACACAGCTTAATAGCCTCATCACCGAGAGAGCAGGAGGCAGCGAGAGCAACAAACCCCCAGGTATACTGGAACAGATCACGGCTATCCAGGGCCAAGGCCGCGATCTGACCAGCAAACTCCCGGATTTGTGCTGCTGGATTCATTTGTTGGTCGGTTGTTGCTGTTGCTGTCGGTCGGTGTGGCGAAGTATTCTGTTACGAAGCTGGAGACGAGATGAGATCCATGTGCAGCTTTATTTAGAATCATCAAACAGGCAGGGGTCAGGAAACAGCAAAACAGGGATATCAGAGAGTGAGCGCAGAGAGTCGTCAGGTAACAGGCAGAAGATCAGGGCAGGCAGCAAACAGGCAGAAGTCAGGAAACAAACCAGGATCAAAACCAGAGAAATCAGAAACAGGATATACGCTCAGAAATTACAAGCCGTGGCAATGCAGTGTAACACTTAAACAAGACTTCGCAAACACTGAACGTGAACACAAGGTATATATAGACACACTAACAGGATGAGACACAGGTGAAAGCAAACAGTGAATGAGGTACAGGTGAATGTGATCAGTGATGAGTCCGGGCAGTGAGTTCTGGGAAATGTAGTTGTGAGGGAAACATGAACATCTGGTGTGGAGTGCCCTCTGGTGACTCTCAAGGGCACTCCACCTGGTGACCGTTACATGCACGTTCACAATTATTTCAGGAAGCACGGAAGGGAGGGGGAGGAGATGAGATGCGGAGGAGGGAGGGTCTAGCTCTGATTTGTTTGAAAATATTCGAACGTCAACACCCAGGATCGCTTTGAGAACCTTTAAGGTTTTACAGGCCTTCAAAAAAATCCTTTTTGATTCATTTGAATTATTTCTAAATTGTTAAAGCTAGCACAATGCGTTAGCATTTCAATGTTAACTTTTCTTTCAGCTTAACGTCTCTTTTCTCTCTTATTCTTTTTTTGGGTTCATCAAATAACTGTGGTAAGCCGGAATTAGTAAACAAACACAGTAAGCCATGGCATTTTCTCCTGTCATGGTCACTTGGACTGTCTGCCATGCCTTCTCTTACAGCGGTGAGGGTTTCACATGTGATAAATATAGGGAAATCGTCAGGCTGACAGAGATTTCAGAAAGAGAGACACGCATCTAAACTTTAAAGGTGCATTGTGCAACATTTCATGTTAAAAATACCTGTGTTTCTAACCCATACATGCTTAAACAATTGCCTAATGGGCTGAATGAGCCCTTTTCTGATCACTGCAATTGCCTCTATAATCCTGTACAGTAAAATAAATAAGAGGGATTCAGGACGGAATTTGAGACTGGGTGTGACGTCATGCGCGTTCACGCTCACCTGGCTATGTCTGGCAGGTTTGTGTATTCGCCGCCATTCCCCGTATCAGCGAAGACAACTCGAGCGACAAAACTTTAATCAACTTTCCACAAAAGTAGAAGATGGACTCAAAGAGACCGGCTTGTAATTCATTCCAAACCCCAACGCAAACTCCTCGTGAGGCAAAGAAAATAAAACTTTTGTCTAGTGCAGGCATCGGAATAAGAGTCAACATCGGGAAGGCTTTCAGCAAATGGAGAGATCTCCGGGTCTGTTCTATAGGGCTCAAACGGGATCCTATACGTAATAACTTGTATTGTTCATGAACGTGTTTCCATAATAATACAATTATAAGTGGAGCAGTAAGCACATAAAACAGTTCAACATGGAGATAGATGGACACAAAAAACGTTTTCTACTACCCCCGTTTTCCCCTTTCCGCTTCTTAATTACCTCATGCCTGACAATACACTCTTGCTCAATATCTTGACATTGCCATTCGGTTAAAGGGTTAGTTCACCCAAAAATGAAAATTCTGTCAGTATTTACTCACCCTCATGTTGTTCCAAACCTCTATGTGTTTATTTGTTCTGCTGTACACAAAAGAAGATATGAAGAGTTCAGATGCAAAAGCCTCTAAATGCCATTTGAAATTTTCTTCTTTAATGATGATTTTTATCAAACTTGTATATTTAAGTTCATTAATTTCACTTAAATAAC